GGTTTTTTTCTTCATAATCATTTTGCTTGCTGTTTTTGAGAGAAGGTCTCACTAGGTAGCTCTGCTTGGCCTGTGACTTGATGTGTACATCAGTCTAACCTCAAACTCACAGAGCCTTGCCAGCCTCTGCCTCTGCCTCTAAAGTGTTGGGATTAAACATGTGCATCACTATGCCTGGCTAGAAATATTTTTGCTGTTGTTGTTGTTGTTTTATAGAGTCATACCTGAGATCATGCCAATATCTCATTGTAATTTTTTTCTGTTCGTTTCAGCACCCAATAATAAGCCTATATGCTACTGTAATATTTCCTCAATTGTACTTCTTTGATGGCTGTCAATCACCCTTCTTTTATTTATCAAAATTTTGTCTCTTTTTCAGAATTTAATTATTTATTAAGCTATTTGTTTATATCAATATGGAATCCCTGGTATTTGTTTTTATTCTGGGTAGACATGCCTGTAGTACACAGGAAGTGTTTTGAGAATCCAAAAAATGTGTAAGACACACATTTTTGAAATAGTGTCTGTCCTTTTTTGAAAAAAACGCATAGTCAAAATATGGTGTATATGTGTTTACACTCCTGTGTGTATGTGTGTGTGTGTATGTGTGTGTGTGTTTGTCTGTGGAGTACAATAATGTGGTACTTTCTACCTTATTTCTTTGAGACAGGGCCTCTTGCTGAATTAGAAGTTTGCTGGCTCTCAGGATCTACTTGCTTCTTCAGCCCCCAATGCTTTGGGTTACAGACACTGACTTTTTTATGTGGGTGTTGGAGATTTGAACTCAGGTTCTCATGCTTGCAGAAAGAGTGCTTTTACCCACTGAGCAATGTCTGTAGACCAATTTCTTACTTTAGTTTCCTTTCTTGCCCCTGCCCCTTGATATGATTACCAGCACAGTGTGCCGGGTGATGGTGGCACACGTCTTTAATCCCAGCACTCGGGAGGCAGAGGCAGGCGGATCTCTGTGAGTTCGAGGCCAGCCTGGTCTACAAGTGCAAGTTCTAGGACAGCCTCCAAAGCTACAGAGAAACCCTGCCTCAAAAAAAAAAAAAACAAAAAACAAAAGACACACAAACAAACAAAAAACATTATTGTCTTCTATTTGTAGTCCATTTTGGATTTCACTTCTCCCTCTACCATCACTGCGAGTGTTGGTTTGCCTGCTTGCTACCTAATGTCTGTGTGAAATGTTACCAAGGCTTTCAAGTTTGAAGTATGTAAAAAGGCATACCAGTGAATTCCCTTCTCTCCATTCCCACTCTCCTTTATTTGCATGGCTTTCCTGCCTGATCTCTGTAGGTAATCAATCATATCAGAAAGAAAGAGAAAGAAGAAAAAACCAACAACAACAAAACAATCATACCAGTTTTTAATTTGCTCTTGTACTTTCTTTTGCACAGACCAAGTACAAATATGTGTGTATTTTCTCGGGCACCCCGTTCTTACAGTGAAAACTAGTGCCATGGGACAGATATCCTCCTGGTTTCTGGGTAGGCAGGGACTGGAAGCAGATTGACGATCTGAGACAGCAGACACAGTTCAGTGCTGTAATGGACCTGGTCTGCTTCTCCTATCCCATTTGTGAGCAAGACAGAAATTCACTGGTCCATTATTCTGAACTCTATCCTTGGCAGATGGACAGTAAGGATGATGATGCTGATAGGTAACAGGCGAGAGAATGACAGTCTAGAATGCGTCCTGTCATTAACTCATGTGTGTGCTCAGTGCCAGTGATGACCGTGATGGTGATGCCTGCTCCTGTAATCCATAGGATCCCAACACCAGAAAGGGTGCGAGAGCTTGTCACATGTACCTCTTCTCTTTTTCCAAACTAACTGATTTCGTGCCAGAATGATACTAATCTTAGTTTTATGAAGTGTTCCAGCAATCTCGAAACATTTTTAGCTTCTGTCTCTTGATTTGGGCATACTTCCTTACAGGCACATAAGTTAGCAGGAACATGAAGAAGTTGACAGTCTGGTCACAGACACTTTAATATTGGCAAGCAAGGAAGCTGGTTTTGAGAATTCAGAAGCAGGAAGCATCAGGCTCAATCTCGACAAGACGTAAACATCAGATTCAAGCAGATACTTTCCTCTTCCAACTCCAGGAAACAAAATGTATATCACCAGTTGTATCATCTGGAGGGTAAGCCGAAGAAGACAGGACTAATTTGGACTTCATATATTGCAACCTTGCAGAATTTAATTACCTGAGCACTTGGCTTCCAAACTTGTGTCTTCCCCAGAGAAAGAAGGGTTTCCTGAGTTGCTAAGAGTGTGCTCTATTTATCCTGATAACCTTAAACGGCTGGTAGTACTACCCCCACTTTACTTTTGAAAAAGATAAGAATCAGAAGTACACCCTAGGATTACACGATGTGTCTAAAATGAATATTAACTCTGAGCATTGTTCTGCCTGCCCGATATTCACTCAAAGACAAGAAGTTCAGAGAAGCGTTACATCTGTAATCCTGCACAGAATGCTGGAGATGGACATGATTTCACCTGTGCATCCTGGATCTATGAGACTGAAGCTTCACTTTCTGATTGTATGATCTTTCTGCCCACACAGACGACCATGGAAGCCATGGGAGGGAGAGAGACGCCTTCCCACTCCCACATATCTTCACCCTTCACTTCCGGGTCAGACTCAGCACACCGGTGAGAACGTGTACTCCCCCTCTGAAACCTGCCCTTCCTCCCATAAAACACATGCCAATGCTTGCACAACTGCCCACCCCACAGGTCATAGGATGGCTTCTGCCAAAATGTCCTTCCACTGTGGGGAAGCTCAGAGGTGAGTGGGCCTGTCCAGACTGCCGTGTACGATGGCGCGTAGGCCTGCTGTGCCTCTCTGGAATCACAGTGCAGTGCTCCCAGGGTGACCCACGAGTGCTGACTCAGAGAGGCAGCCATCCATACATCTAGGGGGCACATAGCCCACTGTGCCAGGCTTGGGGGAAGCTTACTTCTATATTTGGAAGATGACTTGCATGTAGCAGCAGCAAGACTCCCTGGTGGGATATGGCAGGCATCTAAGATCCAAGTGAAATTAGAGCTGTCAGTTTGGCCTTTAAAATCATACATAGGGTTTTACAACGTCTGAAAAGAGAAGCAGCTCTTAACCCACTCCCATCTTTCACCCCACCAGTTCAAGATGACGAAGGGAACTCCTTCCTGTCTGGGTACTAGAGGATAGACCAGTCGGATCAGTTGGGTGTAGCCTCACCTTTGGGGAGATGGATGTCCTCACTGGACCTTTCTGCTCCTCTTCAAAATGAAGATAGCCAAGGTTGGATTCATATTCTTGCATCCTGAAAAAACGGCGTCTTTGCCCTTCCTTGTGTGTGTGTGTGTGTGTGTGTGTGTGTGTGTGTGTGTGTGTGTGTGGTGTGGGGGTGGGGGCAGGGGAGAGATAGACAGAGACAGAGAACATATGGGTGTATGTGGAGGGTTTCACTTTGATTTTTGGGACAGAGTCTCTTAGAAAGCTCAGAAAGCCTCCTGTCTCTATCTCCCCAGAAGTGAGATTGCAAGCTTGTGTCACCAAGCCTATTTTTTGTGGAGAGGGGAGTTTTTTGTGCATGGGATTGAACTCAGATCTTCACGTTGGTGTGGCAAACGTTTACCTCAGGCTCTCCTCAACTCTTTAAAGCAGGATGTCCTGGGAAGGACAAGCATATGGGGAAGCATGGATCTTCAAATAAAACAGAAAGGAGTTGTTCTCACTAAGAGAATGGGGGACACGGGCCTATCGCTGTGGTGAAGATGAAGAGGGCCAGGTGCAGGCTGTGTGTGCCTCTGGCAAGTATGAATGCCAACTTCCCCTTCTCGTGGATGGAGGTGGTGTAGGCGGCCTTCTGACCAAGACAAAGTCAGCCTCGTGATGCCTCCAGACTGCCACTAAGTCTCAGTATCAACTGAGGTGTAACTCACGGCTCTCTCTTAATCATGCAATGAATGAACAGGGAACCAGCTTGTGTCTGGAAATACACAGAGCATGTCAAGCTCGTTCTCTGGAATTGGCCTTCTGCCTTTGCAGAGCCTGTAATGATAGAGCCTGGCCAATGTGGGAGTCCTCTCCAGCTCCGAGAGATCAGATCTTCACCTGGAGCTGGGAACCAGGTAGCAGACGTTTGGGTGTGTGAGAATGTGGGGGCGTGTAAAGAGTGCACACAGAAACTGCCACACCCACACCTCACATACCGTGACAGGGAGGAGTCGTTTGCTGCCCTTAATCCTAACCATCTCATCAGTCTCATAAGTAGATCTTTGACATTGATGGGTCCCTAAGGACACAGACCAGAGATGATAGGAGGACCAAAGAGCATCTTCCCAGCAGCAGTCACTTTCCCGCTCCCCCATTCTGGGCACCTCCACTACCACCATCTCATAGTCATCACGAGATATACTGCTGTAAGGAAAGGAGGGTCGTGTCTGGCCACAAGACTTACCCATTTCACTTAATGCATATGCAACTCCTTAGGAAATTTAGAGGAAGAATTTTTCTGAATTATTAAGAATGAGTTACAATATAGTCCCTTGTTAAAGAAAAAATAAACAGCATTTTCTAAGATTTCCCTCCATTAGAATAGTCTGTAGTCTGGGTTTCCATCTTTGGAATTGAGGGCATCTGAAAACTTTCTTTAAAAAAAACTCAAAAATTTTATTTTTAGTTACATGAGTGTGTGTCTGTGTGCTATTATGTGCATGTGAGTGCAGGAGTCCTTGGAGGTCGGAAGAGGCTGTTGGATCCCCTGAGGCTGAACTGGAGTTATAGGCAGTTGTAAGTGGGTGCTGGGAATTGAACTTTGGTCCTCTGAAAGAATCTTACATACTCTTAACCATGGGGGCACCTCTCCAGCCCCCAGGAAACCTGAAGACTTTTGAATAGCATGGAGAAGGAATAAGCCACAGGGCGGGGCTTCCAGCTCAGTGTTGACCTGTCCTGCAACCAACCAGGGAGACAGAAAGCAGGAATAACAGGGACTCGAGTCACAAGCCATGTCACAGTTTATTATTATATTCTTCAAGCCCACGGCATGGATTTTTCCAGGTAGAAATGGAGGAGTGTGTGGTGCGGCCCTTTACTCGACTTTCTCAGAGCAGGAGCGCCCCCTGCTATCAGTGAACTATGAGATCCAGAGACAGAGATTTGTCCTGCACTGCAAGAAACCACAGGGAAAGGCACTGGGTAAAGAGATACTGAACCAACTCCCCTTGACCTCAGGACGTTTCCAGAAGACCCCGAGAGAGAGGCATGGCAGATATGAGCCAGTCTCCATTTTACTGTGGAAACTCATCCCATAGTTCATGTGACCATAGTCACGTGCACAATGTCATCCATCTTTTTACGTTCTCTCTGTTTCATTAGACTTTACTTCTGAGGTTTGGCCACTCTTCTCCACTCAGTTCTGGGACAGGATGAACTTTACACTTGTAAAATCTCTCTCTCTCTCTCCTTCCCCCTCCCTGTCCTGTGAGACTCATCGTTAGAGTGATGTATGCAAATACTCAACAGCACACCTGCTCTGAGTACAAACATATGCCTTCCTGCTTCACCTCAGACAGGGAAGACATCAGCCCTGAGCTGTGAGGCTGCAAAGGCTCTAGGTAGAGCCAGTCTCTTCTGGTGGGTTGGTGCTGGCTATGCCAGTGGCCTAGCTACTCCTTCAGAAGTCCCAGCTTCTTCAGAGCCTCCCTCCTGTGTCCATCGGGAATGCCCTTTGGGGTTATCTTGACACTGACACAGGGAGGTCGAGGAAGCTTGTCGTGGCTCTGTCCTTTGAAGGACAGTTGCTGGGAGGGCTGGCCCTGCCCCAGGCCAACCAACTTTCCCCCCTGGATTTCGTTAAAGTCCTTTGCCATGCCCAAGGAGGCAGGCCGGGGCCGGGAATTACGCAAGACGCTGGGCGAAACCTTGTCCAAGGTGGGACTCTTTCCCAGAGATGTGCTGGTTTGGCTTTTGGGGTCCTTCTCAGCTGCCGAGAGATAGCTGCTCAATCCCACACCTGAGCGCTCCAGGGTATTGGACTTGAAGTTTATCTGTCTCAGGCCAGGGATGCTGCTTTCCCGCAGGGTCAGCGGTGGGTCAGGCTTGGGCTGTATCAGGGAGCTGTTTACCTTTGAGGTCTTAGGGATAGGAATGGGCATAGACTTGGCAGCTGCAACCTTCCCTGGAGGGCTTTCCTGGGCAGGAATCCAACTCTTGCCTGAAGAGGCAGCAGGAGTGACAGCCTTCATTGGGGAAGCTTTCCCTGCAACTGAAGCAGCCCCTGGGACCAGAGCTGGAGTTGCTTGCTGAACCGTGGCTAGGGCCTGGGAAGGACTCTGAGCTTGAGCTTCCTTGACTTTGAGGCTACTGGTATGTTTATTTACAAGTAGGCTGGGATCATCTTGGTCCTGGGGCAGCCCTAGCTTTTCCAGAGCCTCTCTGCGGGCTTTCTTTTGTTCCTGTAGCGAAGAAGGGACAGGCCCAGAGTCTGTAGCCTCGGTGTGATTCGACAGCCAGTTCTGGGGATGGCTGTGGAAACTGCTTCGGCTGCTCTTCAATACGATGTTAGGAGGCAGCCTACGGGCCTTTGAGGCTGCTTGGGGAGCCTGTTGGGTATTTGGCTTGACCCCCGATGGTAGGGGAGCCTCTTCAGCTCTTGGGTTCTGAGATGCCTGGGCAGGAGGCCGCTGTTGTTGTTGTGGATCTTCTGTCCAGCCTTTCTCAGTGGCTTTATGGGACATAGTTTCTGAAGGCTCTTTCTTCTGGGAGCTGACCAGAGTATGGGCCTGTGGTGTGTGTCTCTTCTCTCCGAGATCTTTAGGCAGGCTCTCTTCCCCACTTTGCTTTGGCCTAATGTCCTGAAAAGCCTCTGGTGGGGGGATGAGAACTGTGTTCAGATCAAGGGTAGTCTCCCGGGATGGGGCTGGTGGCTGGAAGCGCTTAGTGCCCTGGCTGGTCTGCCCTTTGTCAGGCTCTGCCAAGAACAGCCCAGGTGTTTGAGAGCCCTGGCTGTTAGTCTGGGTGGCGCTTTCCCTGAGGTTCTGGCTTCTGCCAAGGTGGAGGTTTCTGGGAAGGCTGTAGGAACCAGATCTGAAACCCAGACTGGGTGACTCAGGAGGACGGGAGGACTGGTCCACTCTCTTTGGCGAAGGCACTTGCTGAGTGTCTATCACCTCTGGGTTTCCTGTGGGATTAGGGAGAACAGGGGAAAGAGTCAATAGAGAGAGAGAATGCTACTACCAAGCAGAAAGCACATACTCCCCCACTAACGGGGTTTGTTTGACTTTGCCTGCTTTTAACAGGGCAGCACCGTTTTCTGGAGGTCCCGTAGACTAGTAGATAAAAAATGACAGGTTCTTTTTGACTGGGAACTGATTTTTCACAAAATGGTTAGAAAACTTCTGAGTTGCTTTAAAGCCTTAACATAGGCTCTCCCTGACTCCTATGCATTCACCAAAGGCAGGGAGAGACTTGGAGATGGTCTCTCTGCTATCCCATGGATCCCAGGTAACTGAACGCAGTGGGAGCTTCTGCTGTCAGCTTGATATGCTTTGGCTTTCGATTCACTTTCTGTGAGAGCTGCATGATTCTGTGACAGCATAGTGCCTTGTACCAGTGAGTGACATGCTTATCTTGTCTAGTGATCTTGCCAGGTATGTGAGGTCCACTAGGCTCAGTGAATTAGCCTCGGGGTACATGAAGTTTCCATTTCTACTCTATCTAAATGGAGGCCCCAAGGCTGTGTTAAGTACTTATATTTACTGAATGAATAAATGATAGTAGCAATGTTTTGCTTACCCTTGAATACATTCCTCATTACCTGTGTGTAATGCCATGCTCTTATACTAAATTGAAACTCCACTGTCTTCCTACTGTCTCTTAACAGGGGCCTCAAGGTACCACGTGCTGCTGGGACGCACCTCTCTTATCTCCCACAGTCTTGTTCTCTGTGTCACCCAGATTAGCTCCCTATGCTGAATCATTCTCTCCTGGGCCAATTACTTAGGCCTCCCTGACTCCTCCCTACATGCGGTATCATATCTCTTTTTGGGTTCTTCCCTGACAGGAAGGGAGCTAGCCAAACCCCTTGCCCTCCTAGGCCTCTGTTACTTCACAGAAAGTCACCAGAAGCTGGCTTCTCAGGAGTCCCCCCTCCCCTCTAGAGACAAGGCTTTAGTCTGGCTAGGAGATTGCAGGGTTCCTCCTGCCTAGGTGCTTGCATCAGAGGGCAAGCAAGGCAGGAAGTGTTCAGAAGGAGACATTTCTGAGTGTCACCTCCCTAGACAATCTCTTACCCTGGGGAGCCTGCTGGGCGATGGGCAGTGCTCGGAAGCTTCGAGGACTGGTGGCTGGCTCTGACTCGTCCGTGGACAGTCCACTGTCAGCCTCAGCCTCCAGTGAGCCAATGGTCTTCTCCAGGAAGAGCAGACACTCCTTCTCTTCAGCAGACAGGAAGTCGTAGCTACTGTCACTCTGCTGGGAGAAGGAATTGTGAGGTGGGGGGCCCAAGACTCAGCCTGCTACAGGGAAAGAATACTGCAAAGCTGGCAACCTTGCCCTGGTTCTGCTCTGCCAATCAGTGAAGCTGCTTCTCGCAGAAGCAGACCCGAGGAGGACAGGCAGGCTAAAGCCCGCCAGGATGCAGTTCTGAAGGCTAGGTAGGCGGATGGCAAGGGCACTCCCTATCGCAGCCCCAGGTTTTCATTCCAGTTCCATGTGATCTTAATGTTTCTACCAGTATCTCTCCCATCTAATTGTGAATTGCATGGGCAACAGCATGGCTAAAACTCGACTGTATCTCCTTCAACTTTGCAAAAACATTTGCCACCTCTCAGCAGCCACCTGGCAGGCCAGGGCCACTAGCAGCTAGGTAAAAACCACAAGAAGCTATGGGGATATGTGACACTTGGCCTGAGCTTCCACTCCTCTTCCTGTTACTATCTAGACTCACGAAGATTGCTGGGGAAGGTTGACAGATAGTTCTAGAAATATCCTGGGGAGTGGGGAAGAGGCTGTTAACTACCTCCATCCCATACCCCAGTCTTGCCTGCCTTTAAAGTCACCTGTCAGTTGACTGGGCCTGCATAACAAGGGAGGGTCCCCCCAAAAAGCTCTTGGGGTTACTTGAATAAAGGTCTTCGTCGCTGCCTTCTGGATTTCTCCTTTATAGACTGTCCAGTGGAGTGTGACTATTCACACTGGTGTCTGCCAGTCAGAAATAGGATGTTATCCTTGTGTCCCCAGCCTCTCATGTCAACAGGAAAATTTCATATACTTGAAGCACTTTGCCTTTTCTGCTCTACTTTTCTATAATGCAACTTATTAACTAACCATCCAGGTGGGTGGGCACACTACTGAGTTCCAGCACGACTCTGTCTCCAAACGAACCAAACAACCAACAAACCAACAAACCCACTAACTAGAGAAAATACTAACATTTGTTAGAAACCTCTCATAACCCTCTTTCTTTGCCTCCCCCGCCCCCTTTTTTGGTTTTTCAAAACAGGGGGTTTCTGTGCAACCCTGGCTGTCCTGGAAATCACTCTTTAGACCAGAGTGCTGGGATTAAAGGTATGCACCGCCACCACCCAGCCTTTTTCCTGTCTTTTTTTTTTTTTTTTTGAGACGGTCTCATGTAGCCTATGTTAGTTCTGAACTTGCTGAGGATAGTCTTATTCTTGATTCACTTCTCTCTACCTGGTATTCATTTTTTTTTGTGGTGTTGGTGATCTAACCCAGGACTCTTAGTGCTTGCAGGGCAAACACTTCCCCTGAGCTGCGTCTCCAAACACAGTCTAATTTCTCACATACTTTTTAGGAAAGTTCAAACCCTTTGTAGCAATGACAAACATCAAAGGAATGCTTACATTTGGATGGGAGGAATATTTTTTACTCCTTCACCCCAACCTTATAACACCTAGAATTTAAAATTATGTCCAGCAAAAACACAGCTTATTACATGCCCTCACAAACAGCTAAGCATTGTGAGTGTGGAAGCTGCTATCTCTGTCCATAGGGGGCCATTTATTTTCTACAAAGAGGTAAATGGTAAGTGCTTTATTTATCTTATTATTTAAAATGTTTATTATTTATTTTGTATGTGTGTGTTTGTGGGCATGTGTGTTACTGGGTGTATAGAGGTCAGTAGGAAATATGCAAGAGTCACTTTCTTCTTTGTGCTGTGTGAATTCTGAGAGAAGAACTCTACTTCTGTCTCCTGAGTCATTTCATAAACGTTTTTTGTTTAGACAAAGCTTTACTATATAGCACAAGCTGATAGAGAACATCATCTCCCTACCTTAGCTTCCCAGGTGTTAAGACTTACAGTGTGTCAATAGACTCCAAAAGAATAGTTCTCATTTTCTCTTATCTTATGAGGCATTGAGGGTAGATCCCAGGGCTTGTCCACACTAGGTAGTCAATCTACTGCTGGGCAGTACCCTAGCCCTAGCTTTCTAAACACTATTTAATGCTGCTTAGCTGTCCTCTTACCCCAGACACTCCCCTTGGAGAAGCTTATAAGAGACGGCTGACAAAACTTAGACTGCTTAGGGAGTTCAGAAAGCTCCAAGATTCACATGGCCCTTCCCCAAGGTTTCATTGGCAGTAGACAGATGAGAGATGGAGAGAGGGAGAAAAAGAAAGTGAGAGAGAGAGAGAGAGAGAGAGAGAGAGAGAGAGAGAGAGAGAGAGAGAGAGAGAGAGTATCTGCAAGTTAGTTGGTCAGAGAGCTTCAGGAATGTAGGCTTCAAGCTGTCACCATGCTCAGAGTCACCCATGCTCCTGTAAGTAGTCTCCATATTAGGAACAATCTCTTTGGTCTGTCTGTGCAATGTTAAACCTCCCTAGTAAAAGTCATGCAACAAACACATCTTATTACTCCCTCCAAGAGCCATTATGATTAGGTGTTGATATTTCCCCCCATTTTAAAACTGAGACTAGCTCAGTGTGGTGGTGCACACCTTCAATCCCAGCACTTGGGAGTCAGGGGCAGGTGGTTCTTTGTGAGTTAAAGGTCAGCCTGGTTGGAATAGTGAATGTCAGCCTAGCCAGGGTAACACAGTGAGACCACAAGCCAAGGTCTCAGCCACAAACAAACAAACAACAAACAACCTCAAACTGAGGACACTGAAGTGTAGAGAAATTGGTGAAATGCCCAAGGTAGTCTGGCTTCTGGGGAGGGAATCTGGATGCGTTCAGCTCCATAAGGCTCCCAATTACTCTGTTTCCTTTGCTTTTTGTGGAAAACTGAAGCCATGCTATTCATTGCAGAGGATTCTAAGAGTCCATGGGCTATAAGAATCTGCCTTCTGGTTTCCACCACGACCTGAGTGCCTGCTCCTTTCCCCACATAAGCCCTTTAACCTAATGTAAACGGGGGGGGGGGGGGTGGGGTGGGGGGGGGGGTGGGCTGGGTTATTGATCCTATTGCTCTCCGAGGCTGTCCCACCCAATTCTCTATAGAACCAGGGCTGACCCAGAAGCAGCAAGAACCCAGTGATTCACTCGCTGGTGAAGAAGATGACAGAGAAGGTGCAGTGAGTGATGGTGGGTGGCACGGCAGGGCAGGGCGGGGTGGGGCAGGCATGCAGAGCAGGCCAGGCTGCAAGAGGGAGAGAGTACATACAGATCCAGAGTGGGCGGAGGTGGTGCTCATCATGCTGTCACAGCTGCCGATGTGGGTCACAGGTTCTGAGCAAGGCCCTGCTGGCCAAAGCTCCCTCTTGGGCATCGCCTGAAGCAAGGCGCAGGGGTGGTGAAAGGGGCTGCCAGAGAGGAAGTGAATGGAAGTGAAGAATGTCCCAAGCTGGGCCTGAAAAGAGAACAATCAAAGCCACGTGTGAGCAGAGGCTTCTACAAAGCACTGCTCGGGCCCTGGGGTTTTATGGCAGCAAGATACCAAGCAGGCACAGAGTTGGAAGGGAGCCATGGGCCGGTCATGTCAGAACTCCACCCCCAGTCTGCATGAAGGGACACATAAGCTTGCTCAAACGCATGCAGAAAGATGGATTCAGGGAGCAGAGATATAGGCTAGTCAGAAAAGAGGTTGTGGTCTTCCTCTTAGCTTCTTTTTGTTTTTTCCTCTATGAAGCAAGGAGTTTGACTTGTAATTTCATTATGAAAACCAATATATATTGTAAGGTTGAGGGATTGGGTTCTGGGTTCAAAACCCAGTTGAACCACTTAATGTTTTGATTTTAGGCAAATTACTTGTTAAATATGATTAACGTAAGGATTAAATGAGAGGTCAGTTAGAACAGCTCTGTGGCAGCAGATACTATTGTTCTTATAAAAATCCATCTCAGACCAAATTAAACCCACGCACAGGGAACAAGAGTTTTGGAGAGAAGGGTTCTGTCTAAATGGAGGATTACAGGCTTGAGAGAAAGGAACAGGGCCCTTAATAATGCACTTCCTAGAGTTATTATGAGAATAGAAAAATGGAATAGCCTATGTAGTACAGTATATGCCCAATAATGTCAGCTGCAATCACTGTTAATAATATCATAAATATGACACTGCCCCCAAGAAGGCTGATGTCATCTCTCCGTCCTCGGCCATATGAACATGGCACCTGCAATGGTTGAGAGCAGTCCCGTTTCCCTCACTTGTATTCTGTCATTTATGCATTCGCAGTGAAGTTCCCTGGACTACATCAAATGAATGGGAAAAAATGTCCAGTGTAGCTCCTCTCTAAACCCAGCTTCTATGGGGAGAAACAGTTCAATTTCATTGTGGCGACAGCAATAGCAAAAACCAAACACAAACAAAAAGCCACCTCACCGCTGCCACTGGACTTCCCAAGGATTTTTTTTTCTATGGGAAATAGTCCACCAGACCAGGGCAGGTCAAGAGTAACTCTTTTTATGGAAAATGAAAATCTAAAAGATTTTCAAACAGAAAGTTTGGGGACAGCTAGAATTACAATAAATTTTATACAACTCAGATCCATATTTTGCTTGTAACACTATACTATGTTTTAATCATTTCTGCTACTCTCCTAATAGAAGGCAAATTGTCCTAGGACAAGATGTTTTATTGGAGATCTGGGGACTTGGGGCTTAGGTGCCAGGGTACATATTCCTCTGCCAATAGTCACTCCAGTGCCAATGTCAGCTTCGGGTTCAGTTAGGTCTTCCAACCTGATCATGCCGGCAAGGGTAAGGCAAGGAAGGCCTCGCAAGGCTACTCCCCTGCTTAGGAGAGATCCATAAATGGGACAGGATGCTGGGGAGAGAAAAAGGCAGGGTCCTGAGCCAGACACACAGGATTCACAGCTTCTCAGAAGATGAGGAGGGGCCCAGAAGAGAAGGGACAACGAAGAAGCCCCATGCCAATCAACACTGGGTGGGGTAGCTCTGGGATTTCTCCACCAGGTCAGTTCCTCAACATCCCAAGCCCAAAGAAACAGAAACTCAAGAATCCTTGTAGACTGGCTTTAGCCATCTTAGCTTTGCATTTCTTCAGGGTTTGTCCAGGTTCAGAGTGTACTAACCAGTTCCTAACATTCTGCAAAGTCACTCAAAACTGCTGTCTGCAGAAACATGTCTGCACATAGAGCTAAGTGTAGGCAACAGTTGAGTGCTCCATCCTAAACAAGGCATTCATAATGCCCTCACCAAGGCTCTGGGAATATTGTGGAAGAGTGGGTGGAAAGACCGAAAGAGTCAGAAACGCAGCACACATGCACGAGCACACGTGTGTGTGTGTGTGTGTGTGTGTGTGTGTGTGTGTGTGTGTGTGTGTGTGTGTGTGTTGTCACCATCGAGGCATGGCATATCTATGTAATCATGACTTCTCAACAATGCACTGGGTCTTCACAAGAATGGGTCCACCAATAACCAAGCAAGGATGGAGGCGTGACTAGGTACGCCCTACCCCTCACTGCTGAACTACTTCCTAGGGATAGATTCAGGGAAAGGGAGAGAGTGAATTCCATGTATAGCCTGGTGATCCCACCACTGTTCACAAAGATGGCCCTGGATAAACTAAATGGGCCACTAAACAAAGTCCCAAGTCATGAATCTGGGAGAGTTGGAAAGGGACAGGCAGGGAGGAAGAAAGGGTGATGGGGTAGGGGAAAAGGAAGGATGCCAGAAACAGCAACCGGAATAAACTATATACATGTATGAAACTGTCAAAGAGCTAACTCATTTAGTGGCTGGTTAAGTACTGAGCTGAACTCAAGAAAGCCAGTAACTCAAGAAAGCCAGTAACAGAGAGGGAGGACTGATGATCAAAGGGATTAAAACTGGGTTGGTTTAACCCCCAGAAACAGCTGACCAGACAAAGGTTAACTCTTGAATCCCAGGCATCAGCCTGGGAATCCAGCATGGGACTGATCAATACCCCCTGAATTTGGGTGTCAGTGAGGAGGCCTAGGAAACCTATTGAGCCTTGGGCAGCAGATCAGTACCCATCCCAAGTATACACACGGACTTTGGACTCCCATAGAACAATGTGAGGTGCACTCTCACCCTGAACTCTTAGGGAAGAGTCTAGGCCCTGCCCTATATGAAATGACAGACTATGGGCACCCCCATGGAGGGCCTCACCCTCCCTGGGGGAATGAGGGGATAACGGGGGGGGTGGGGGGAGGGCACGGGAGGAGGGGAGGGAATGGGAGAGGGACCTGGAACTGACTTGTGAAGCAACCTCGTTTCTTATCTAAATTTAAACTGGAAAAAAAGAAAGTTATTTGAATGCATGTTAAAAAATAATAAAACCTGTGTCTTTTTGCCAGGAAAAAAAAAAGAATCATAAGGTTACCATAACAAAAGTTGAAGAAATAAAAATTTTGCAACATTGAATAAAAAAACCAATTCTGTCTGAATAAGTCTATTGGGTGAGCTACTTGGATGGAGGCTTCTTCTTGACTTCAGTCCACCACTGTAAGCTTTTTCATAGTCTTTTATTTCTCATAGAGCAAGTGGCACAGAAGACTTTGCAGATGTTTGTTTAGATTAGCATTTGTGAGCCCCCAATTGGCACTGTATAAGACAAAACCATTATTTTCAAGGAGCCGGTGTGGATCCATGGAACTATTTTTGGCTCCAGTTTTCCATGTTTAACAAGTAATAAATCTCTAAGGTGACTCACTACAATTAATGTAATATTTTCTCCAAATGGGTGAGGTGGTGTCTCTTACTTTCACAGAAAATTACTAGCTTTGTTCCTTCATGTGTGCCTCAGGCTGTACTGCGGGCTTCTGGTTCCTCCCGGGAGGGAAGCCCACTGCACTCCCATTCCTACACCAGAAGCAACCAAGGAGCTAGGGTGGGCACAGCCCTGCCTCCCACCATCTGCCCCTGCAAAGTGCTCTCAGACATGCTACCGGGATCTTCAGTGGAATCTGGTAGCATTTTCTCCCTTTCACAGTTGAGAACACTGGGAATCTCCCCAAATTCCTAAGTGAAGTAGGAATGGCTCTAAGGGTCATTGGCCACTCTGCCACCAAAAGTCCAAAGGTCCCCTTCTCTTCTACATCCCACCTTAAGCCCTGTGCATTATCTGGTTAAGCTTTGTATTTCTAGGTCACTTGGTTATCCTGACAACAGCAGGATAAAGTAAACAGTAAAGAAACAGCACTAAACGTAGTGCAGGTGATGCTGTCGGTGCCACATAATCTCAGAACAAGCAAGCACCCAGCTCCTGGAACCCTATTTCCACACCCTGTTTTCTGACTCAGACTGAGCAGGAAACATCTGTTCTTAGACCGGCAGTCATGGCAAATGCCTTTAATCCAAGTCCTTGGGAGGCAGAGGCAGGTGGATCTCTGTGAGTTCCAGGACAGCTAGAGCTGCTACACAGAGAAACCCTGGAAAAACCAAAAAAAAAAAAAAAAGCCCATTCTCCTACTGCTCTCCATTCCTGGCCCGGCCCTGGCCTAATCTACATGTGCTGTTTTCTTCTACTGAATTTATAACCTTGAAACTTGTGGGCTGTATCAGCGCAGCAATCGAAACTCTAGGCATTTCTGCCTGATAAGAACCCTGAGAAACAAGGAAAGCAGTCGAGGTGAGAGGCTGGTATCTTTTCACCCTTGACCTCTTCTGGAGACTCAAGGGTAAAGGGAACAAGGCAGGAAATGTGCACAGCCTATAGTCAGGCCTCCCATCCAAAGACACATTAAATATTAACTACTTCTCTGATACTAGCCAAGCCTTGCAAGAGAGTAAATAAACGGCACCCAGAGCCCTGGCATCCAAAGCGGTGGGTGTGGACAGGGCTATCTGAATCAGACCTTCTGAACAGATTCAGGCCTCTGCAACATCCTGTCCCGCGAGCACGCCCTCCTGTCTCCTAAGAACTCAGCCCAGGCCACAGGGGAATGCTGCTCTTCGGCAAGGGGCTCTGTTTTCTGCTGACTCAGCCCAGAGAATACCCAGAAAACAGAATAAAAACACCACCAAGACCGAAATTGTTGCCATTTGTACAATGTTAGTCTCTCTTTTACTAGTGCTTTGTGGGAGGGGCTTGGTAGAATACCGTAGGTACAGAAGAGCCCTGTTAGACATTGCAGGTGACCCCCATGACTCTTACTGCTGACATCTGCCTCCTCTGATAGTCTTCAGTCAGTGAGTGAAACTGGCCGACTCCATGGGGTAAGGGAAGTTAACATTTGGAGCTCCAGCATTCGGGAGCAGAAACATAATACACTCATCTGGGGCAGTGGTGCTCAACCTATGTCTCACAACCCCTTTGGCAAACCTTTGTCTCCAAAAAAATATTTATATTGTGATTCATAACAGTAGCACAATTACAGTTGTGAAGTAGCAATGAAAGTAATTTTATGGTTGGGGGTCTCTACAACATGAGGAACTGTATTAGAGGGCCACAGCTTTAGGGAGGTTGAGAACCACTGCTCTAGGGCCATGTGTTGATGTCTTTTCACGTCCCCTTTTCTCTGTGGAAGCCAGAGGTCTGCACGTCACCACCCGTGATGATGATGAGAGCTTATTTCTGGCTGGACTTCTACATGCTGCTTCCTTAGGCAGGTGCACCTGCTGCACTATTTTGTCAGCTGGGACACGGGAAGCGCGAAGCAAAGCCTTCACCCCAGTCTGTTTCTCCTCTCTGAGGACTCTGCCGCATCACCTTGGCCTGAGCCCCACTTGGCAGTCTGGTTAGGCTTGGTATGCTGAGATGAAATAAAATGGGGTGAGGCCCAGCATGGCCAAGTAACTTTCTGTTTTCCAGGGTCTGCATCTACTAACAGGTAAACTCAGAGATTTAACTTGTGGACCCTAAGTGAGCTTGATCGGAGCTAAATTATCTGTGGGTTTTCCAAAGATAAAATGCTAGCCTGAACTGGAGTTTTCTCAACATTTCCAAGCCTCAATTCCCACTGCAAGCAAGCTAGCTCAATTTAGACTTTACATTATCTAGTAATACATGCTGCACCCTTTACTTAAATAAAGATAGACACAGGGCCATGAGAGAATTTCCTTTTACACACGTAATGGAGAAATAAGGTACCTGGCTCACTGCAGGGCCTTCCCCACCATTTTGACTCTGGCTGCTCCAATTATCCACTTACTCTCTTTCAAAATCACCACTTGATCTTAGCTGCTCAGAGATGGGAATTTCCAAATTCTAAACAAAGTTATTTTTTGTTGTTTGTTGTTGTTGTTTTTCCTTTGAGACAGGTCGTATCAGGTGTGATAGGCTGGCCTGGAACTTGCTGTATAGCCCGGAAGCCTGACTTCATACTTTCCATCTCCAGTCTCGGCCTTCTGAGTACTATGACTATAGTGCACACCAGCATGCCTGACTCTGGTTTCTGTTTGTGCAATATGCTTATGTAACTTAAACAAGTAAATGCAAGAGATGTTCCCTAGTCCTCCATAGGAATATTTTAACTCTGCCTTAATCTTAGGCTGACCAAGAGACTTGAGCAACAGAGATGAGAAGCCCAGGCTGGCTAGATATAAAGGGACGCTCTTGCAGCACTCCCCAGCACAGCCCTGAAGCCTTCCCTTAAGATACCTTCCCTTGTTGTAGAACAGGCAAGAATTAGTGACTGACTCACCTTCTCTGGGTTGGGGTCTGAAGAGAAGAAAGGAAGGACCTTCTATTCCAAAGGGCAGAGATGGAGCTTGTCTCTCCGCCGGCCGCGTCTCCTACTATTTTCTTTTGACCTCCTCCTGACTTACCTAGACAGGTAAAAGCTTCATCTGCGCTGCCTGGACACACCCTGCTGCTGACCCTCAGCCAATCCTAGCTTCCCTCCCTTACTCCTCATTCCAGCTGTTCAGTCAGGGAGGATTTAGCCAATCAACTCCGGCTCCCTGTCCCCGCCCCTTTTTTGGCTTACAGCCAAAAGAGAGCTTTTTAAATAATAAAAAGAAAGGTAGAGGGCTGGAGCTGGTTTGAGCTGAGCGTGGAAAGATAGCCAGGAGAGTTTGGCAGGGTGGAAGTAAGCCAAAGGTGCTTGGTTTTCTTTCTTGAAAGGAACGCAACAGTCCCAACAGTCCGGCCGGGGACTATGCACTTCTACCGGCCTGCTGAGAACCGGGTTTCCTGTTTGGACCAGCCTTCCTCCACTTGAAGCTGACAAAGTATTCTCCAGGCTAACATTCTGGTGGCTAGTTTGTAGCCAGCTTTTCTAACTCTCAGCCACAGACAGTTTCATATCCAGAGGAGGTTCGGGGACCTCAAAGTTAACAACGTAGCTGGGTCACCCGCTTGCTGAGAGCCGTCCTGGCCTTTTTCTTTCTGGGGAAATAAAACAAATTTCTCTCCCTCTTCTAGGAAGTCATTTTTCTGGATTAAAAACAAAACAAAACAAACGACAAAACCTGTAGCAGCCAGAAAGAGGAGGACTTGAACTCTGTCATTTGGGTCTCTGGTTCCTTGGTTGCTCAGGTGGCGATTGACATTAAATGCAAGTCAAGCCAGCTACCCACCAGCCCAGCAAGTACTTCTTTTGTGGGGAAATGTTTGGTGTGTATATGGGAGAGGAGAGTGGGCCAAGGAGTCTCCTGCTTCCAGGAAGACATCTCCCTCCAGGTGCAGATGCCACTCATGCCAGACAGGACTTCCGCTCACGCTGCCTTATTGCCCTGAATGCAGCTTATCCCTAGAGCTACCAGCTGTATTTCACTTGCTGACAGTAACAGGGCAAAAAGGAAATTTAGAATAGTCCTGCAAGGTTTGCTCAGTGTAAGCCCTTTCTCTGTGCTGGGTTACTATGCACACTTCATAGAGAGATTAAATGACTAGTGGTCAACGTACTTCCTCCTTTTAATTCAGACATCCAGGACCCTAGTCCATGTAATCATCCTGTCAACAGTGTGTGTGTGTGTGTGTGTGTGTGTGTGTGTTCTCAACTCAGTTAGCCTAATTTAGATAAAACCTCACAGGTATGCCCAGAGGCATGCTTCCCATATGATTTTAGATCTTCATTCAAGAAGCAAGGGCCTCACTCTGCAGTAACAATTCCAAGAGACTAGTGACATGAAACCATTTTTTAAGACACTAGTGTAGAGACAGCAACAGCAAGATTGCCTGGTATGGCATTTTGGCAGAAAAGAGTGTTTTTTACAGCCCCCGATTTTGAGACATCATGGCTGTCTTTTTTCTATATGCTGGTACCCCGAGAGTTATCATCTTTGCTGTCTTCCAGCATAGACTCCTCTCAAATTCCTGGTTCTATTGTTTTGGGATGCAAAGCATTACCAAACAATATCCTGGGGCTTGAGAATGTCTCATTTTCTGTTGGTGGGCGCAACCATGGTCACACAGCTGTCTATACCAGACAAGTAGGCTTTAGTGGGCAGCTAAGGGAGACAGAGAGGGCCTAGTGTTTCATGCTCATTTGTGACTGCAGAGCTCTGATTCAGCTCGTATTGAAGATGTACCTAATCATTTATTTCCTATACAGTCAAACTGACAATCAAATCAACCATCACAGTTGCCGGGTATGAGCCCAGTCTGCCTGTATTTTGGAAAAAAAAAATCCCCAGTGGGAAGCATTAAGTACAAAGATAATTTGCATACTTGATTCTAACAATTTCTTTCATTCTTATTCCATTTCTGGCTTTCATATGTTTATATGTTTTCTAGGGTGACACATGGCTTCCATCTTTCTTCTGTGATTATAGATGGGAGGGAAATAAGAACTACATTGTCCAGATGAGAAATAATCTGAGAAAGCTTGGAACAACCTGACGCATATGGATCACAGATGACTGAAGTCTTCAGGGCTATGACCTCTGTTTCTAACACATCATCAAACAAATGTGATGTCATAATAATGAGAAAAAAGGAAGGGACCTCCCTATCTAGTCACTACATGGACTCTACCAATGACTGAGGTCACTATATTTGACTCAGGTTTATATAGGTGAGTGATTTAAATATTTGCTTAAAATGCAAACAAAAATTCAATGAATCTCCAAAAAGACCTCAAACAGTCCATTTTTAAACTTACAATGAAATGAGAATAATCTGGAAGGTCTCCTACCTTTTCCCAGGTAGGTGATTTTTAAATAAAATAAAATAATCCTTTTTTTCTTTCACCCTAGACACTTGTCTTGGGAAATGCATGTTTCAGGTACCTGGGTACAGCACCTGCTGTCTACTACTCAGTTATAAAACATTAACATTATAGCTGAGATTATGTATAAGCCTCAGCTCCTCTCCCCATCCCTCAAAGCACACACACGTCCTGGATGAAATAAACTACTATCGTAACTCTGGTGTTTCTTGCTCTCTGTTTTCTTAACTATTTTCCCTGGAATTGAGCATGATTTTGCTTTGCTTTCCTTTTTGTTTGGAAAAATACAAGCCTCAAAGGTTCCCAGTGAATGAAGAAGGTGGCCTGGACTACAGATGAGGGAAGCCTCCCAAGTCAGAGATACCTGAGATAACTCTTGATGGTCCATGTAGGTCACTGGTGTTTGGAGAGGTACTGTTGAGAGTTGGAAATGAATTCCTATTGGATGATCTGATTCTGACACCCAATTACAGATGAGCTTCCAGGACTCTGTTTCCATAGTCCTTGTCCCTGCTGGTACACTGTTGTAGTAGAATGACCTCCTTTAAGTAAAAGGCTGCTTTACAATTTCCTTCCTCAGTCGGGCTGACTCAGTGAGTGAGTGAGGCAGTCACTCGTGACCCAAGTATGGGCAGGTGTGTATGCACACATATTCACATTGACTTTAAATCAAAATAAATAATGTTGGCCCCTTGCCGTTCCTTACAAAGTCAGGCTGCAAAACAGTTCTGAGCCTCCATCTGAACTACTCACACTCAAGGCACACCAAAATGGTCAGCGTCCTCCTTCCTTTTCTCTTAAAGGAAATGTGTTTTCTTTACTCGGGAAACATTGGTGCCCTCTGTCTTCATGGGGATGAGTGCTGGGGCCTCTAAGTGTGACCTCTAAGATATGGGCAGAAAGTTTTATGGTTCAAGTACAGCCTGGGGAATGAAGAGCTGATTTTAAATAAGGAATAACTAGGAATGGATTCAGAAGAGTATAATTTGGCTATTAGGTCATAGCTAATAAACCGCCAAGCTTTCATCATGAGTCTTACTAAGCCTAGTATACATGGAAACTAAGCCATATACTAAAGTGAACTTTAGTTTCTGAAACTACTTAATTGCTACGTAGTTTACAGGAGTAGGTTCTTCCTTGTCTCTTTTTGGAAGTTTCTCTAGCCCACCTGCTAGAAGAATTTGGAGTTTATGTTTATAGGTTAGGTATGTGTATCTTCTTTGTACTGAGCAAGAAGATGGCTTTGTTTTTTTTTTTAAACAGTACTGCAGTACTATTCCTATCACATCTATGCCCACATTCTCACCCCCATATATTCTCTCTCTCTCTCTCTCTCTCTCTCTCTCTCTCTCTCTCTCTCACTCACACACACACACAGTTTTCCTATTATTACACAAGTGTTGATAGTTGAGCTATTAGATATATAGCCATTTTTCCTTTTCTATGTATCTCTATACCCTTCTCCCCCACCCGTTATGTAAACTCCCTCTCCAAACACTCACATATACATTATATTTCCTGCACTCTTCAGAGCTGCATCAGTTTGGGGAAAGTTGTTCTGTACACTGGTCAATGGCTGTCATTTTGTTATCTTCATCAATAACTGGGAGAAATTCCTTCCCTGTGGAGTTACCTGGAGTGCAGGCCCTCTTCTTTTGGCTGAGCAGTTTCTATTAATTTCCCAAGGACAAATGCTTAGAACCCTGTAAGTCTGAAAATAAGATTATTTTCATCCCTGTACTTGAGTGGCTGCAGACAGTTTTAAGTTACCATCTGTTACAAGCTTCCAGTATTGCTGTTGAAAAGCCTCCAAAGTATTTTTGCTTCTACATTTTGGGCCCTTCTGTTTCTCGTATTTAGAAATTTCCACAACAATGAGGATATGTTTTGAAGAGTCACTTTATTTGAAGCTCTGGCTTTAGTCATATGAAAGCTCTTGGACTCCTCAGTAAGAGCTAATAAAATTCTTCTGAGACAAAGATCTGATGACTCACTGGAATGCTTTTATGTCCTTTCGGTCACTCTACAGCAGACATCAAAGTCAATGCCTATTTCCTTAGACCCTGACTTCATTTATCCATATTCATTCATTAGTGGGAGCTGAGAATACAGCAACAGCAGACAGAACTCGATGTGCCCACATGGAACAAATTGAAGACACATGCATATGCACACATCCGCACACACAAGCACGTGGAATATGGGCTTAAGATAGCCAAGAGAGCACAAAGCTGGGTCCTTGTACATTTCTAAAGGTACCTATTTTTCTTCTTCCCTCATTTGTACTGACAGCCTGCTTAGGAAAATACTTCTGTTCCTCTCACAGTACTGAGTTTATAGATCCACCACTTCCTAGTTTGGATGCCCTTCCTCCTCTTTGAAGGATTACTTATGACAAAAGTTTAGCTTTCATGCCTAATAGCACTTTTTCTAAAAGGCTCTCCCAGACTTCCCAATTTTAATTTTCTTTTCTCACCCTTTATTTCCTTCATGGAACCTACATTTTACTCTCTCTACAGCATTGTCTTTATTTTTCCTTCCAGTGCATCTAGCACCCAGGGCAGTTTCTGACACAATAAAGCCATTCAAGAATGCTCAATCAATCTGTAATTTTTTCCATAATCCTGAGATATGTGACACCATGCCCCACAAATAGAATTTAGGAAGTATTTAACAGCTTGCCTGAAATTACCTAGCTTCTCTTAGAAAAATTAAAAAATAACTCAAGGTTTTGTTTTCTTTTAAGAATCTTACTGTGTAACCCAGGTGGGGCTCCTACTTGAAAACCTCATTGAGCTATCCTCCTTAAATTCCCTAAGAGCCAAATTATAGACATCCGTGTCTAGAAATGTTGAAACAAGTAATCCAGATAAGCCTCCTGCTGCAGTAATGAAGAATCAAAAACGCAAAGAATTTGGTGAATTACTAACCCGGGAACAGGGAAAGATGTTTATTGCAGATTGGGTAGCTGACACTCTGAAAGGCTGAAAAGAACAAGGACTATACATACTTAGTGTATGCTAAAATCCCGGTGTTCTACACCCTGAACTGAGAAGGAATTCTCGTTTGATTTATAGAGCTATCATCACGTTTAGTTACTCCGTGTAACTTGATACTTGGTGTCACTGCTGGGAGACAAAGACATCCGTATCAGAACAAAATTTCAAAACCAAGTTTATTTATGAAACTGCCTTATTTCAGGTTTGGAGATGTAAGATCTTTATAAATTCAAAAAATATGCATTTGAGCTGAGTGTTGGTGGCGCATGCCTTTATTCCCAGCACTCGCGAGGCAGAGGCAGTCAGATCTCTGTTAGTTTGGAGGCCAGCCTGATCTACAGTGAGTTCTAGGACAGTCTCCAAAGCAATAAAGAAATCCTGTCTGGGGGAGGAGGGGGGCATTTGTCACAAATGGATGTCCTGCTTTGAAGCCTCTTCCATATCCGACTTTCTTACAAACTTTAACAGGATAAGGGCAAGAAAAATCCTGATTGTGTGTGTGTGTGTAATATTATACTATTTCAGAGGAAGAGGTTCTTTTGTAATTATTTTATAGCTGGTATTAAAATCCTTTTCAAGATGGTAGACTGACTTCTAGTATCATCCCCATAATGCAGACTTCACAGTATTTGAGTTTTTAAAAAATATTAACATAACCAATTCTTTCTATTCTTGTTAGTTTCTTGTGTGCTGTGTGTATTTGTGAACTAAGGTCAAGTTAGAAAACCTAAGCTCTGGCCAACACTAACAGCTCCGGGGTTTCTGGTGTTTAACTGCTGACAATGAAAAATTATAGAAAAGCCACCAACTTTCAAACATAAGTACATCCAGAATCTGATTCTAGTAAAAACAGGTACACCCAACCTTTCTATTTAAACAATTCACCAGCAAAGATTATTTAATTTAAACTTCAGGGAGTTTAGAAGGAAATTTAGTCAACGAAGGGTAAATCTGAATGCCTTTTGGCATCAGAAGAGAAACATTAACTACTCAAAGGGTGTGGGAACCAGGTACACAAAACCAAGCTGTGGTCTGGGTTGGTAATATGTAACTTTGAGTGTAGCATTCTTTGCTGGCCCTTTGCCTGGCCCCAAAATATTCTCACACAACAATGTTTCACTTCATTTATTCCTTTAATACAAGTCACTTCATACATTTAGATATTGAAAAAAATCACATGTCATAAATAAAATTAATGCATATTAATAACAAAGGCAAAGAAATCATGAAGTTAGACCTCTTCCAGGTAGCAGCAGTGCATGAACTTTGAAAACTTGCTGGCAAATAACCAAGGGAACATTTTGAAAGCAACACTGTCCATCTTCACTAAGAACACATTTTCTTATGCTAAGAAAACAACTCTTTTTTCTGTTTGGCCCCATTTAATATCTTTGCAATTATGTTCTAGAGTTCTGCATTTCAGGTTTCATGGCTGTTTTCTTACTTAAGGAGCTCTGCCTCTACTGTGTTAAAACAGCCTCTATAGACTACTTCTCATTCTTTATCCTTTTTGACAAGCTATAATATGTACTTATTAGGCATTCTTAAAGGAAAAATTAATTTGGTATAAGTATATTTCCTGTGACACCTTGAGTCCTAAATGGTAAAAAATATGAACGGAAACCCTTGTCCTTTAAGTAACTTAGGGGGAATTATACCTAACTAAACATTCTGAACCAGTTCTGGTGCCAAGACATATCACCTCAGCAGAAACTCTCAACCTCTTTACCTGTAACTTAACTACACCTTCACTATACTTAAATTCCTACACACAGGTTAATTTATTTAAAATGAGAAGTAAAAAAGCATGCCATGCAAAATGCTTACATTCATGCCTTTTTAATAGTACTTTTTCCTACTAAATTAAGATGTAAACACTCCATAATTCAGCATCAATATAAACATTTTGTTTTCCAAATGAAATATTCAAAGCACTGTAAACAAATACTAATTTTTGAAGAAAAATACCTATCACAATCAAGGAAGTCTTACATTCATTGAGTTGGATGTGCTGACATATTACATTGGTTATTAAGAAACCACCCTGGGCGTGGGGATGTTGACCAGTGAGCACTTACCTCGCAAGCACAAAGCCCTGGTTTGATGTCTATCACCATGAGAAACAAGCTAGCTTATTCAAATCAAGTATTCCTTTAGGTTCACAAATATTGCTCGTATATCTTACTCAAAAAAAAGATTTCCCTAATATAAGCTTACTTAAAAATGAATGAAAGGGTTGATGAGTCTACTCTTTCTTTTAAAAACTCTATGCTGTAAACAGAATTTGAATACTGTAAAACAAGTGATAATGATGTTACAGAAACAACATTTCTTACAGACCAAACTCCTAATAGTGACTGAAATTAGACTTTATCAGAAGATACAGAAAATACTGATGCTCAAGGCTGTATTTTTCCTGTCCTCAAGATATGTGGAAGGCTATGTAAACTTTCATTTTCCAATTTTTAAAGTGCTGCAAAAATAATGTTTCAACACAGGAAAAAATGTAATTCTCAGTATATGTAAATTTAAGGCTACCTGATTTTTTAAAATATATAACGTGTGTGTATATGGATCATTGTTGCTTAATTTCACATACATTCTTCTGAAGTTTTCCAAATGGACAGAAAATTCAACAGGGGCAGCTGGAAGGGAGGAAGCTAGATAGACAAGCAAGTTATGCATGTGCAGTTAGAGGGATATATAGGTAGGGAAGTAATGCTACTTTTGGATTCTGATTTTCTGAGCCTTGGGACTCCACAGACTATTCAAATGGCATAATAGTATTAGTTCCTAACAAAAGGGTTAGGCTGGCCAGTAACCATTTGATTATGTCCACTTCTCATTCACAAAGAGCAATTAAGAAATTAACCATGAATCACTGGCTTTTAAAAGATGTGGTAACATCCTGGATGTCTTCATATGACTATCACAAAATTCCCAGGGATATTAATTTGGACTAATACCATGACTAGGGAGGGTATTTTCATACCCTGAACACACTGAATCTTTAATCCAAAGAAGATTGAGGGAAGAATGGGGTAGTGAGGGCAAAAGTATAATTTTTACTCTACCACTAGTATTCTACCACACTAATGTAAACTGCCTCATTTTAATTAAAAAAGAAATTCTTGCAGGACAGGCAAAAACTGAACAAAAGGGTTTCATTAAAACAAAGTTTCTTTTAGTTATGACGCAACTAAATTCACAGATTTTTCAAAATTTTCAAAATGAGTTTAGTCAATAATTTCAAGAGCTTAATAAGCATAGTCAAAAAATATAAAACAACAACAAAACCCTTTAAATTCTATGAGGCTTACCAGCTTGTATTTAGAAAGAACATAAATTAATAATTAAATAATTTGCATATAATATTTCACCTTAAATGTTCTAGAACACTAAACCAGTTTTCGTGTCAGCAAATATTTAAAAAGCCTTTTTGAAAGCCATATGACTATCAGTGTCTACCTGGCTACTGGACAAACTAGGTAAAAGATAAAATAGGATAAGAAATAATCCCCTGGCTGGGAGGTGGTGGTGCACGCCTTTAAACCCAGCACTCGGGAGGCAGAGGCAGGCTGTGAGTTCGAGACCATCCTGGTTTACAAGAGCTAGTTCCAGGACAGCCTCCAAAGTCACAAAAAAACCCTGTCTTGAAAAACAAAAATCCCCTAAATCCCTAAATAAATACTAAACAAGATGAACAAAAAAACACTTAAAGTATTTGAATTTTAAGCACTTATTCTATTTCTTTACATTCACTAAACTAACCCTCTGGAGATAACAGACAAAATTTAAAGCGACAGGAATTTATCTTCAAAAAATAGAACATGCCCTATACATTATAAGCTATTCAATAAATACTTGTTGCATGAACAAACTTCTGGATCCAAAATTTCAGAAACATTGAATTTGGATGCTGAAGAGGTACAGGAAGGCAGACTTCATAAATATGATGCATACAACTCGATTGATAGATATTACCCAGTGTTATATTTTTAATGTATAGTTTTAAATTAAATTATTTTATAGAGGAAATGAAAGAGATAAAAAATCATCTGGACCAAAGAGACTTTTGTGAGAGTCATTTACACATGTCACAAATGCCAAACGTTCAGTGTCCTAACCTCACTGGTACTATGTTTAAGGCTCAGTTTAAAAAAAAACAAAACAACAACAAACCAATAAACGAACAGGCACAAAAATTAAGTATTTTCAATTTATATGACTATAATAACTGCCATTGCCTGACTGGCTATGTGCATGAAAGGTTTACAAGAAGTCATTCGGCCGGGTGCGGTGACTCCTGCTTGTAATCTCAACACTCAGGAGGCTGAGGCAGAAGGACCACTTCAAGTTTGAAGAGCCTGGTCTATATAGTAAATTCCAGGTTAGCCAGAAACACACAGGGAGACTCTGTCTCAAATCAAAATAGAATGTCACCTGATGATTGAAGCATACTTTGTGAATTGTTCAATTGTTCCTTAAAGGAACTTTCTAAATTGTTCACTTTAATATTCCTTGATTTTACATTGCTACCACTACCAAGTAGAAGGCTAAAGGTTGATGTTAATTTGAAAACATTTGCTAAGATACACAGGAAAAGATGTAAGTTCTTTAAAGTATACTGATGGTTGTCTGAGCTACTTAATAAATCTAAGATGGAGATAACAAAAATTCACAACAGTATGCCTCTTTACATTGTATGACAGAACACACAAATAGTAACTTAAAGATCCCTGATCTTTAGAAGAATTAAGAGGTAGAAAACTTTACCTGGAAGATTGTATAGTGAAGTTAAGTTTTGAGTGGGTGTGCCTTGTGGATTAATCCATCAAGCAAATGGCTACATATATAATATTAGGTAGCAGAATTCTGAGAGAGCTGTGTAAGGCAAGGATTTTAAAACTTTTTATATTTTAGAAGTGAAACAAACCCAATCAATTATTTAAAAACTGAAAGTCAAAGATCACAGGTAAACAAAGTACTAACTTGCAGAAATGTGGGCTATCTAAAAGATCAAAGTGGAGCTATGAACACTTATCTATGAAAAAGACATTTATGAAATCAATCAAAGCATAGCATTGACACCTTAGAGGAAGACTTGTTTGGAAGAAGTGCTTTTAGCAGGACAGCTGAGGAAATGAAATCCCTCCAGACAAATGTAATGTAAAACAGCAAAAGAAAAACAAGACAAAAAAAACCCCAAAAAAACCAAAACACCCAAATTTCAAGACACTTCTTGAATTTTAAACTAAATTAGCAATTAAAAAGGCATACCCTGCTTCATTAAAAAAATTATCTAATGTGACAAATACCAACACAGGAATTGCATTAAAACATGAGGCCAACAGTCTTTTAAAGCTTCAGTAAGCTGCTTCAGGCACCTTTCCCCCTTATACATTCTACTTTTATACACTAGAAATCTCAAACAGGGCCCCATTCCTGTTTTAGATAACATTCTCAAGGAATGCACACATCCCTGTAAAATTGCTTTTTATGCATTTTAAGTTGTTAGATACACTTATAAAGTCTACCAAATTGCAATACAAAAAGTTGACAATTCTGAGTATCTTCATTTGATGAATCAATCAGAATTTAGAAACTACTAACTCATTCAAAGTTATTAAAAGGAATCAGCTACTGGAGACACTGCAGTATATGTCCAGTGAACCTCCGCAAGGCTTCCCACATTACCTAAAATATGATGTTTTCTTCTATAAGTTAAAGCCGCTGGGTGCTGGTTTATAATAGAATCCAGTCTTCAGGTTAGCATCAGAAGTGGCACAAGCCACATATTCTGTCACCCTAGTAGGAAGAGGGCATGCCACTAGTGTAGACACACACCTGTAAACTTGCACACTAATTTTAATCTTAACAAGGAATTTCAGTGTCAGTCATACTGGTTTAAGTTAAAACGATGGTCCAAGCATTGTGTTCTTCTATTCTGTAAGTTTATGAATAGCTTATTGGAAAACCCAGAGCCTTCTGGATCTGTGAGGTAGTAGGCTCCAACTCTTATGAACAGATCACACCTCTCCAAAGTTGGTATGGCCTGTCTCCTTGGCATGGTCCCTTGCTTCCGCTTGTCCAGTTAACCCCTTCTGACACACCATGCATCTCAGGGTGAAGCGGTTTACATCAGTAAACTGTCTCTTTCTTCTAGCCTCATCAGCTAATTCCAGTGCTTGTACAAGAACAATATCATCATTTGAGGAGAAAATGGTCAGAGGAGGAGTATCTGGATCAGAGAAGGTCCGCTGAAGTGGATCATAGTGGATACCATCGTAGATGAGCAGAACCCTTTTGGTATATCCCGCATCTTCCCCAAAACGATCAATTCTGACTGTCTGTGTGTCTACTACACATATTTCACATTGATAAAACTTAGAAAGAATTGAGATCTCAATTGCTCCTCCCCAAGTATCATCCCTTTTGATCCATTCACAATACTCTTCATTTGTTTTTCCCAGTATTGCCTCACTGTAGAAGTCTGGATCACTTGCTACAATCTGGGCTATGAGACGTCTCATGTCAGGGGCACAGGCTGGATTCAGGACTCCTCCTTCAACGACATAGTACACACTGGTAAAGAGGCAAGAGTTGTCTGCCGGGACTGCAGTTCTGGTAAGCACAGGCAAAGTTTCCCTGACGTAACTAGGAGCACCATGTTTTGAAAATGCAGGGGAAGAAGCTTTTGGCCTGGTGTGGTCTTCTTCAACAATCAGCATGTCACCTGTTAAAAATAAAACAAATCCAGAACTGCAGAAAATTATAGATTGGGTGTTTATTAGCCAACTCGGTAAATTATGAGCCATAAGAGGGTTACTAAGAAGAACTTGACTTTGTAAACAAGAGACCAGTAACACTTAAGTGTGCGGGTTTTTTTTTTTTTCCGAGACAGGGTTTCAGGGTTTCTCTGTATTGTTTTGGAGGATGCCCTGAACTAGCCAGTAGCCCATGATGGAACTCGCAGAGATCAGCCTGCCTCTGCCTCCCGCGTGCTGGGATTAAAGGTGTGCTCCACCAATGTCTGGCTTTGTTTTGTCTTTTTTTTTTTTTTTTGTTCACTGTGTCTTCAGAAAGGAAGAAAACAAAATGCTTCAAGTTGCATCTCAACTTGGAGACAAAAACCCTTATGTAAAAAGATAAATTGAAAAACAAATTGCGCAGCGATGGCTAGCACCTTTTAACACCAGCAATCTGGGATCTCTCCGCCAGGTGGCAAAGGCACTCTTTGAGTTCCTGGCGAGTTTCAGGGCAGGCTCCAAAGCTAACAGAGAAACCCTAACTCAAAAAACAAAACAAAAAAACCCCAACCCAAACAACAACAACAACAAAAACCCTCCTATGGGAGGCAGGCTCTGTGAGTTCGAGACCAGCCTGGTCTACAGAGCAAGTTCTAGGATAGCCTCCAAAACAATACAGAGAAACCCTGCCTCAAAAAACAAACAAAAGAAACCGAAAAAACAACCCCTCCTATGTTCTGCATTTTAAACCACGACTCTTTCAGATGTCACCCTCAGACTAGGTAGGTCATCACGGTGTTCTCCTGGCATTTGGCATGATTATACCATTTGATGTGCAGAGGGACCTTGACACAGAATGGAAAGCTTTTAAGGATCAACACTGATGTTCAAGTTGTAATACTGGGGACAAAACTCTACAGTAAATGCTGTACAAGTGCACACGAAACAAACTATAAAAACAAATTAACGGGGAAAAAGCCAATTAGACAAAATCGGTATCACAACTGCTGGCCCGCTGGTCAGGACGGAGAAAAAGAACCATCATCGTATCAGCGAAAAGGGGTCCTGCTGTCCTTTGGGGAAGCGGAGAAGGCAAAATGAATGAGATGGTCTCCTGGGAGCGGGCTTAGGGAAGCGCTAAGCTCAAGGCTCTGGGCTTTTCTCCCAAGCAGTGAAGAAGAAAAAAAAAAAAAAAAAAAAGGCCTCGACACTTCCCCTGCCCTCCCAGAGCCCCGGTCCGCGAAGCCCCTATGGCCCACCGGCCCCTCAACGTGCCCCAGGCCTTCCCTGGTCCCAGCCGGCGCCCGTACCTGACTGGATGGGCAGTCCCCCAAGAGTGATGTCCCGGTCGCTGAGGTCCAAGCACTCGGGCGGGTAGCCGACGAGGATTCGCTGACTGCCCGGGGCGATCCCGGTGATAGCGGCGATTTGGCCCTGAAGTTCCCGTAAGCGGGTCCGGCTGGACAGCCCCTGCAAAACGTGAGTGCCGCCCTTGGCCTTGCAGCGGAGCCGCCACATCGTGTCGGCGGGCCGGCCACCTGCGGGGCCGGCTTTGGTCCCTGCAGCAGCCTGGGAGCCGCCGCCGCCGCCGCCGCCGCCGCCGCCGGAGCAACCAGCAGGGGGGACTCCAAAATGGCCGCCTTTCGCGCCGCCAAACATCGCGAGAAGTAGCCGCAGCGGCGGCGGCGCTTCTCGCGACACCTCAGTTAGGGACCGGCCTCGGTCCTTCCTAGAGCGCGCGCTCTTAAAGAGCTAAGGGCGGCCGGGGCCGGAGGTCGGCCAGCTCTCCCCGGCGGCGCTGCTGTGAGGCGTCCTTCGCGTCCGCAGCATTTATGCTCCAGGGAGGAGGGCGGGGAAGGAGTTCCCGAGTGTGGCAGAGCAGAGTGTCACCTTGCAGGGAGGTCGGAAATGATGAAAGCGGCCCTCCGGGCACCAGGAAGAGCCGACTCATGGCCGAGGAGGTAAACAGATGCCAAGAAAGGTCACAGGACCTGCCCGTGGCCGCACCGAACTGATTCATCGAGGCTCAGAGGACTGCTCGACCGGATTCCTCGGCCAGACGAACCCGAAAGCGTCCATCTGCCACCTCAGAGAGACAGTCTGAGGTCAGCAGCCGTGCCTAGGGCGGTCGCCGCCCGCAGGTGGCGGCGGCGGTGTCAACGAGGACGACCCACTCCTGTCCTCGGATTCCAGTTCGATTCCTGGTATCCAGACAGGAATGAAGTGTTTCACTCCCGCCTGGGGGATCGAACAAGTCCTCCTGTGGCTCAGAGGCAGAAGAAAGTCACACCGGGCACGCTAGCTAGTTTCCAGCCATGTGTGCCGCGAGCCCGAGACTGCCTTGTACTTAAAAAAAAAAAAAGTGCAGTAAACGCCAAATAATGGCAGGGTTTATAGCACGCCATAACACGCTGGGGCTGTCAAACGCATACTTGGACTGGCCGGAAGATGACCCGATTTCCGGGCAAAGAAGAAATGAGTAAAACAGCCCTCGTTTGTTCGGTTTTCATGTTTAAGTTAAAGCAGCAAGTTCCCCGCCCCTCCCACACGGTACCACCGGTGTGCTGGGGCGACTTTGGAAAGTAGTTTTGGAACGTGTCAAACGCGCCGAAACAGCCCCACCTTAGGACCCAATTAGAGCAGATCTTTCCCTCCCCACCCCTACACCGGGAGCGGGTGCAGTCTTCCTCCTGGGTTCTTCAAGATGACCACAGATACGACGGTCTGGGTCGTGGTAGTGGGGGGAAAGAAAGGGACGTGGTTTGGAGTCACCTGGGTCCAGGGAAGCCCCGGTTTCGAGCACGGTTGGCTTAGGTTCTGGGATCTGACCAGAAGTTAGCAGTCAGCTCTTGCACCTTGGTAGACATCAAGGCATCTTTAAAAGCAAACGTCTCCCCTCCCGGAGACTTGGGGGAACGACCAAGTCTAGCTGGGATGCAGGAGCGAAGGCGTTAATCTTCGCTCTCACCGGTCACTCCCACTCAGGATGTCAGTCAAATAGGTCTCGCGAGAGTAAGGAAAAAAGGTAAGGCTTTTTTATTAACTCCTCCTCCAGCCCGATTAGTTCCTAAGCAACGATGCCACCAAGCTCCCCTGAGCCGGCTGGTCTGGGAGCGGCAGCCTTGGGCGATCACAGATCCTCCCCGAGGTAGCCCAGCCTCCCCAGGAGCCCGCCTCCTGCCCTGCCGGTGCCCCATTGGTCCAGCCGGCTTCCAGGTGAGGGCTGACGCGCGGGTGGGCGGAGCCAAGCGCACCACGTGATCGGGGAGCCGGGGATTCAGTCAGTAAGGTCTGGTTCGCGGAGCTCCGGTGGCGACACCGGGTCCACAGCCGGGAGGACGAATAGGGCAGGTCGAATAGGGTGAGCGATAGTTGAGCAGTCTGGACGCGAGGATGGGGTGCTGCGCCGGCGCGGTTACGGTGCAGAGCGATGGTGCTTAGCCCTTCGGGAAGTGTAGCTCCACTGGCACTCCTGGGGAGCTGAGCCGCAGCTGTTAGGAGGACGAAGATTTGTACTGTCAGGCGAGGAACAGTGCGAGGTTTTTTTGTTTTTGTTTTTTCGAGGTAGGGTCTTCTCTGTATTGTTTTTGGAGGCTGTCCTGGAACTGGATTTGTAGACCAGGCTGGCTTCTAACTCACAATGATCCGCCTGGCTCTGCCTCCCGAGTGCTGAGATTAAAGGCTTGCACCACCAACGCCCCGCTTTGTTTTGTTTTTTAATAGGACCTTTTGTCTTGAACTCCTTAGTGTCTATCTGAGTTTGAGAAGTGAGACTCGGCTCCTCCTACCCTAGTTGATATTAGGACCCAAGGCTTATTTTGTAGGTAAATCATTTTCTTTCGCTGAGCCCCAGAGGGTGGATGGGAGAGGATAGGGAGGACAACTTGAGAATGGAGAACAGCGGAGAAGAATGTAGCATGCTAGGGATATCTCAGTCCCGTTATAATTCTTCCTTCAGAGAACATGTTTCTGCCCCTGCCCTCTCCACCGTTCCCATTCTCATGTTTTCTTCTCTTCAAGACTAAGTGTTCCCCTTGGGTTGAGATTGCTTTCTTGACAATGCACTTCACTTATTCCCACCTCCGTTCTCTCCATAGTCTTAAACTAGAATGTGAGGTCAAGAGAATTGGACAAGCACTTTAGTCGGTTGTCTTTGAGTTGTCAGTTCTAGAAAACAAAATGAAGTAATCATGATGGGAAAATCTGCTTTATTAAAAGATTACTGGAAGGCTTCCTGGATTTGAGATACATGAATGTGAACAAGGTCAACAAATAGATTCACAGTTGGAGTGCAGCTCTCTAGGTGAGAATAAGTTTGCCAATTATCCAAGAACAAGCACGGTTGAATTGGAGGAAGAGGCTGGACCTGAATCTTGGTAGGGGCCCCTTTCTTGTGTCACACTGATCTCCATTGTTTTTAGGGACACCTACCTTCTGTTCCTTGCACTTCCCCTTTCTCTTTTCCTAGGTGCCTCCTGAAGAGCTACCATGTCTGGGAATACTTCATCTTCCACAGAACACAGAAGCAGCAGCAACTGTAAACCTCACACGGCAAACCTTCGGAAGGCAGGGAAGAAATGCTGTGAGTTCTGGTAAAGAGTGAAGGCTGCTTCCTCGTCGGATTTTTTTTCTTTTTCTTTTTTTGGTCCTGTAAATGTATCTGTATCCTAGACTCTTGCTCTGTGGGAGTGAATAGTAATTCTTTGGCATGGCAATTTATGTTTTATTATTTTGTGACAGAGTCTTACTACAGACCCCTGGCTTGTTGGGCACTCATTGTAACCCAGGCTGCCCTGTGACTCATGCAGTTCTCCTGTTTTTGAGATGTGTGCCCCTGTGTTGGACATGATATGAGATTAAAGTCTACAAAGTGGGCAATTTCCTATTCCAAACAAGTAGGCTTAGTGAAATGTGTCTTTGGAGCTTGACTGCTGTGTGGGCCCAGTGTTTCTTGTTGCTTTCATTGGATTTGGGAACAAATGCCAGATGTCGGATGATAGTTATTAAATACATAGGATGACAGAGTGTCAAGGTACAGGATTAACCTAGGACTGTCACTCTCTTAGTTTCCCTTTATCTCTTGAACTATGTTCTAGAACACAGTCTAAATTGCAGGCAGAAGCTAGGCATGGTGGCACACACCTGTAATCCAAGCCCTGGTGCGATAAAGGCAGGATCAGGAGTTCAAGGTTGTGCTTAGTTCCGAATAAGCCTGGGGTGCTGGAGACCTTGTCTCAAAACAAATAAGCAGAAGTTGCAGGTAGAAGCCAGTACTCATCCTGCGCCTCCAGGCCCGAGGGGAATGAGTCCTGACTTGTGACTCTCGGTGTCTTGGGTGCTTTACATTCTTACAGGGTTAGCCTTAGCATTTTGCAGATTCTTTCACCATAAGCACAGAGATGGCAGAATGGTGGCAGGGGAATGAAACATCTTTTCATGTTTCCTGACCTTACATCCTAGGCAAGGCTCTAGAGTTCCCCATAAATCTGGGGCATTGGTCCGCAGATGTTTCTGGAAACTGCAGGTGTTTTAGCACACTTAGTCTTCCTTGTGGAATGTACCTTTTTGGGAACCCTTCCAGTCAGTTCTCCATTTAGTAAGAAGTGCTTATGCATATGGTTAGGGGGAAGGAGGTGGGGGGTCAGCATGAGATCAGGTACTGACTGTGTTCAGAGTTGACTCCAGGGGCTCCATCATGGTGTCAGGCAGTTATAGTAGTGAGCTTGGCACACCTCTGTGGTTAGGGTTTCTTTTACTTGCCAGGTCAGGAAGCCAGTACTGAGGGCAAACTGTCTCATGAGTAAACTAGGCAGCAGGATGCTTAATTGCAGCCCATTCAGTCAGACTCCCTAGGTTTGAGTGATGGTTTTCCTGTTTCCTAGCCGTGTACCTGTGAGCAATTTGCTTAACCCCTCTCTCCCTCAGTTTATCCTTTTTAAAGAAAGGAATCAAGACTCCCCTCATTCTGTCCCCTCTGACTCCCCTTCTCTCCTTCCCTCTTTTCTTTCCTTTGACAGTGTCCCACTATGTAGCCTAGGTCACGTTAAACATGCTTTTCTTGTGTTGAGATTACAAGTTAACACTGCCACTCTTAACCTAGTTTACTCTGTTATAAAGTGAGATACTAAAATCATTCTCCCGGGAGTGATTTGAAAATTAGATAAATGCATACAGTCAAGCACTCAGATGAATATTGGAAGCAGCTGCTGTGTATGCTGTCTCACAAGTGACTCTACTTTTTGTATTTATTCTCGAATTATACCTAAATCCTACCAGCACCTCATAATTTAAGAGCATGGTAGAGAATTGTTTTTTACAGTGAAGAATGTTTTCTGCTTGACAGTATTGTAACTCACATGTTCTGACCTAGCATGGCCCTCTTAAAGGAAATGTGCTCCTGTTACTAGGGTATGTAATCCACAAAACAGCCAGGAGGGATGGCGGTGGACGTCAGAACCAGCTAGTTCACTTTTTCAGCCCTTCTAACTCTGCCTTGCTGCTCTAACTTGCTGCTCCTGGCTGCCTTCCTGACCCTTTCATAGCTCTTCTGCCTGAGGGCTTTTGATTAAGAAGCTAATCCTAGGTCCCATTTATGTTCTCTAGACTCATCCCCTGTTCCTGGCTCTAGTTTTTCTTTGCTAATCTCTACTCTTTTAAAACTGCTTTTTCTTTCCAACCGACGGACTCAGAGTTGTCATTTATGTACCCAACTTTTATAACTTCATGGTTGGACTGTGAAATCCTTAGGAGAATATTAGTTTATTTGCTCTACTGTGCACAGAGATTTGGCAGTTTAGACATCTTGTTCTGGTCCATCTTACTAATGAGTAGAACCTATTCTGTTCTGTTTCTGTGTGCTTAAAGACATTCCTAAGTTGATAGACCTAGATTCACCCATTCTACATTGTGTGTGGAAGGTTTCCTTGTTATAGACTCCCCACTGTCTAGTGTTGCTTTATTTATAGCTCAACTGCTGCCTCCTTGCTGCTCATTACACCTGCTTGCTAACTTTGAGTCTGGAAACTGACTGGGCTTTGTTTCAAGGCCAAAATCTCTGAAGAGCCTTACTAGGACTTGAGATGTTCCTGGGATGGGGTTGTAGGCAGGCTGGCTGGGTCCTTTTAAGGTACCCAGGTGAGTGGTTTCAGGGGTCTCTGAGAGCAGGAAATGAAGGGTCTAGGTGCTTTCCTTATTAAGTCTTCTCATCTTTTGGTTTCTTTTATTTATTTTTGAAATATTTTGAGTAGATTTGGAGAGACAAGTATATTTTTCCCTAAATATAAAAGCAGTGCATGTTTAGGAAAACTCAAGTAATTAAAAAAGAAAACATGGAAAGTAAAATCTTTCCCAATCTCTCCTATCTTTGTTAAATTCACTTCTTTTAGGTGTTTATTTCTGGTGTATCCCATTACCAAACATCATGATACACCTATTCTGTTCTGTTGCCATATTTCCTAAACTTTGAACTCTTATCCAGATTGACATCTTTCTGCATTGTGTGAATCTCATCCAATAATTGTTTTAAACTCTTCACTATCATAAAGAACGCTTCAGTGAATACCTTTATATTTCTGTACACTCATATCAACAGTGTTCCTTAGAGAAGTAAAAGGAGCATGACAGACCCAGGGAAAGTCCATGTTGTAATATGTTCTTTGAAGTTTCAGGGCCTCAAGAGATGTATTTTCTGGAAGTTGGCTATTACCATCTAAGGCTGTACTGCTTGACAGTTCTTAAACTTGATTATTTCATGCTTATCAGTCAAACAGCAGTAGATAATCAGGTTTTATAACTTTTAATGAATAAAATTAAGATAGTAATGATAATGCTTTATGGGTTGCATATTCAAAATACTGGGCCTGCTTAATGTTGATGATCGAAAAAGTCCTTGGCCATGAGGAGACCAGGAACTATTACTCTCCTAGACATCCTTCCAGATAAGCTTGGAGAACACAGTCATGTTTTCCCTGGGACCTTTTGTTTGGTATTAATGTGATGGCTAAGAACCAGTAGATAAGCCTGAATAGGCAGTCATGAGATCAGGAATGTGGTCAGGAAGCCTGACCTTGACTTTCTTCTGTGGTCCTGTGGGCCAAGCTCTTAAGGTCTTTGGGATTTAGTTTTTCCATTTATGTGAAAAAGTGTCAAGCTCTCATTTTGACTAAACTTGCTTATAAAGAGAAAATGATTTGAAGCTAAATAAAGCAAGTTTAACTCTGCATAAGAAGACAAAAGAATTTCAGGGTTGGAGCAGTTTTCCTTTGTCAAGCGATATTACATATCTCTAGGTCCCTTCTACTCAAACTTTTTCCTTTTAACAGAAAGGAAACAAGCTTTGCAGTTTTACCAGCCTAACAGTTTTGAGATATTATTATTATTATTATCATCATCATCATTATTTTATTTCCACAGACAAAAACCTGGTTATAGCAGGTGTGTGTGTGTGTGTGTGTGTGTGTGTGTGTGTGTGTGTGTGTGTGTGTGTACCTGCTTACGCTCTTGGCTGAGGCTGGAGGTCGGACTATGGAATGCCTGTGATCCAGCCTTGTTTTCTTTTGTTGTTAGCTTTCTCTGTCCAACATGGGGAACACAGAGCAGCCTCTCCCTGGTTTCTCTCAGAGTAGCTCCTAAGCATGCTTTTTTCTAAACTTCAGGGAGGGAAACAGCACCTTTGGGGGAAGCCTAATGAGCTAGAAGATGTGGACAGAGAGGCCTGTAAGTGCAGCTGATGCGTCAAATTACCGAATGTCCAGAGGAGTACGCACTAAGCTAGAGAACATAAAGACTGGGGGCGGGTGTAGCTGCTTGAACCTGATGCCAGGAGAGGCCTGTTGCCTGCTGGGGTCAGTGCTCAGTGACTAATGCCCCCAGAGACTACAAGGTGCTGTTTACTTACCCCTCAGCGCCTTGTGTGGATAGAGATGAAAACTGCTTATGCTGCTCCATTACCTATTTTGGTGGAGCTTCTGTCCAGAGTCTGCAGTTTCCACCATGCAACAGGGGGGGGGGGGTGAACTCTCAGTAGGTGTTCTCTTAGTTCTTTTTGAAGGAAAGAATTCACAGTGATGTTTAATAGATGTTTAAACAGAAGTTTATTTGGCAAAGCTAAACAAAGTAAAGACTAAGGAGATTGAAGTGGGAGTCTTTAGGTTCTGAACTGTGGGTTTTGGAGAAGTTTTTAAGTATCTATTAGGTTGGTGCCTTTCTCCTCCCAAATCATGATGGACCACATCTCCCTTATTAGGATATTATTTCCATGATCCCTGCACATGGGGAAGTATGTCACAATTGCAATGCACATGACATTATAATGACATCAGGTCTTGAGGATGCAGACCCTTAGTGCACAAGTGTGCGAAAATGCCCTGGTGCCTTAGTTTCTGGCACAGTGAGAACAACCTCACTGCAGCTTCAAAGATGTTTGTCCTCAGAGTGGCATTGTCACCATGAGGTGACACATGTTGCAGGGCCCCGTTGAAAAGGGTGCTTACCGCAGAAGTTCAAGGTGTTTTGTTTTGCTTTTTTTCCCTTGTCTTTCTCCATGGAGACAGCTGACAGCCTGAGCTCTCCCTGATAACCTCAGCTTGGGTCTTGGCTTCAAGAAAGGGGTTGATGAGGCACAAATGCAGGTCTTTTCTTCACCTTTGCTCTGTGTCAGGGTACGCAGGGAGGAACCAGTTCTGTGAGCAAACTGAAAAAAGCCTTTTGTTAGGGAGAAAAACTGTCTGGGTAGCACAGGCTTGGATTCCAATGCTAGGTCTACACTTGACTGATTATGTGCTGTGCAAGTCATCAAACCGTTTAAGCCCACCAACCCAGTGAAACCTATATTTGTAAAGCAACACTCCTGAGAGAAGTTAGTTTCTCAGAAAGGTCAGCGCCACCAACTGCTACTGCTCTGCTTTCCAGTCATCTTGCCTTTATATGAGCTTTGAGGCAGGCAGGCCTCCATGCTCTGTGCTGAAGGTGGAACCTTTATGGAGTCTAGTCAACCCTTTATCCTGCAGGCTTTGGCTACTAGATATCACTGGGTTAGAAATTAAAGTAGAGGAGGAGTTCATTGCCTGAGTGTTGTGGCCAAAACAGCTTGAGGCAGGGCTCTTTTTGCAGAGATCTTCAAAGACTTGCCTGGGGCTCTGGAGGGATGCCTAGGATCCTCAAGGGAAAACAACCCTCCGTGGGACCTATTTTAAAGTCAGTCTAGTTTGGGGTGAACAGCATCATAGCTACAATATTATTAGGCATTCTTTCTCTTCCTAATCTTTACTAGTATTTCTTTCCCTCTTGGGAATCTCTCTGAAGACTTGGGAAAGAAATGACTGTGTGTGGGTACTTTATGGAAGTCTGCATGACACTTTTACTCTGTTTCAAGAGGATATGCCAAATATAGCCTCATTTTACCTCCTCACTCTTCCTGGACCTTTGCCCTATAGGTTTATGAAGATTAAATGAGACGATGACTATGAAGTTTCTCATTTCATACATAAACCTCAGGAGATATATAGTCATTAAGCTCTACCTGTTTCATTTTCTTTTAGCATGGGCTTCCTACATGACCAACTCCCCAACTCTCATTGTTATGATTGGTTTGCCAGCCCGGGGTAAAACTTACGTGTCCAAGAAACTAACACGCTACCTCAACTGGATTGGGGTACCCACCAAAGGTAGGTGCAGGCCATTCATCGGGAAGGGAGTTGGTTAGTTCTGGGGTCCCACAGGCCTCGGAGACTTAGTCTTCCTAGCATTGAAGTCCTATAATGCTTCCTCATTTACTGGATTTGTTTCCTGTCCCCAGCCATGTCTCCTCCAAGCCTAGGCAGATGATCCTAGTTTTGATAGAATGCCTTTGATAGAAATATTCAAAATTAAATGAGAATATGTTATCTCAAAACCCTTGTCACATGTGTCATGTTTTGAACCTTATTGGTGCCCTGGCGAGACAGCAGCTGAGGAGGTAGAAGCTCAGCTTCAGACTTGCTCACACCCTCTTTTAAGTCAGGACTTTAGCCCAGCTTGTCTTAGTTTGGTATTGTTTCCGACATACCTGCTGTTTTTTCCATTCCATTGGCAACTCTGTTAGGCCAAGAAGTCTCCTTTAGTGGGGCCATTGTATTGTTTTTACTGCAGTGTTTAATCTTGGGGTGTATCGGCGTGAAGCAGTCAAGTCCTATAAGTCTTATGACTTCTTTCGTCATGACAATGAAGAAGCTATGAAGATTCGCAAGTGAGTCTTTTTTCTTTAAGACCTGACCTAAGTCAACTCTTTTTGGGCAGTTGTGAGACTGAATGTGTTAGGGCCCTATTTTTCTCAGGAAATATCTTGGGGGGGCATCTTAATGGATGTGATTAGATTGACAGATCAGCTTGGGTTGGTTGGGTAGCAGACAGGACTCTAGAAGATGTTTTTGTGTAATGCCTAAAGAGGTATAAGGCTTATAAATGGGACCTTGAGGAAAGTGTAGGATGGTGTGTAAACTTCTTGGGAAAGTTGAAAGATTTAATTAGAGGAAACATAACCAGAAAGAAATTGAGTGGGATATGACTCCTGCAAGTGTGTGTGTCTCCGGGCTTGTTTGATCTTAGCTCTTTTCACTGATTTCCTTTGTTCTCATGGCAGACAGTGTGCTCTGGTAGCACTGGAAGATGTTAAGGCTTATTTTACTGAAGAGAGTGGGCAGATTGCGGTAAGCCTTGTCTGCTTCCCCCTCTTCATCTCCACTCTTCCTGCCTCCTGGTTACTCAGCCCCACCTGGAGTTGGCCTTGGGGCAGTGTTTCATTTTTGTCTTCCCACTCATTTACTTTGTGTGCTTTCTGCCTAGGTGTTTGATGCTACCAATACCACTCGGGAGAGGAGGGACATGATTTTGAACTTTGCGGAGCAGAATGCCTTCAAGGTGGGCTCTGATGCTATGCTGGCAGAAAAGGGATGAGTGGAGGTGGGGAGCCAGGATGGAGAGATTGGAATGTAGGTCCCTTTGACTCTGATGAGCACAAGATTAGGCTATCTCTGACTTTGTCCACTTGGGGCATATGCCTAATCCTTGAGTGTTTTTTGTTGAGATCCTTTATTTAGCCTGTAAGGCCCAGGGGATGTGGTAAGATATGTTTTTAAAGGAAGAGGCTGGAAATCCTGAAGATGTGGCAGCTGGGTGGAGTAGGTAAGTATGTGCTTTCAGTTAACAATCTGGCATTTTTGACATGTTTATCATGTCTTTGCTCCATGGCCAGGTGTTCTTTGTGGAATCTGTCTGTGATGATCCTGATGTCATTGCCGCCAATATTCTGGTGAGTATTACCCCTGTCACCTGTAGTCAGTCTCAGTCTCTCTTTCTCTGTCTTTCTCTCTCTCAGAGTGTGTGTGTGTGTGTGTGTGTGTGTGTGTGTGTGTGTGTGTGTGTGTGTGTGGCCTCTGGACAGTGAAAGAAGGAAGCAAACAGGGTCTTCTTTATCTAAGAGCATTTTGGACCTTAATGCTCTTCTCTTGGGAAAAGGACCTGGGCCTGTGAGGACTACAATAAAAGTGAGTTCCTGTGTGAGGATCAGCTTAGACTGTGGGAGCCCTGCCTTTGTGCTCTGATATTACCTAGTAGTAAAACCTAAATATTGTACCAGATTAGAGTTCTTTTTGTCCTGTTCATCCACATTAAAGGGGAGGTTATTTACTCAGTAGTTGTCTAATGTTCTGATCAGCATTGAATATTGCACTTCTGTGCCCTGTGGGGCACAGCACCAGACAGTACTCCCTGGACAGGTTGTTTTGTTCTGTGCCCGGTAGGCATCTTTGTATGCTCTCTTAAAGATTCCTTCACACCATGGGAGCTGGAGTTACCTTATTTGAGAAAGAATCAGTGATTCCTAAGTCAAGTAGTGGGTCGAATACTCTGTTCTGAGAAGCAGTAGGGGGAAATTGGAGCCCATTCTGTGTTCACAGGCAAGTACATAAAGGGCTCAGGGCTCAGAAGCAGCATTAGCTGCATGACTCCCTCTGTCCTGTGGCCAAAGGCAGGCACATGACTCCCCAGTTGTCTTCCCTTTCTTGGTTGCCAGGGTCACAGGACAGGATGAGAGTGCTCCAGTGAGAAGCTGTTTTTACAGACTTCTTCTGTTTTTAGCAGTGACTATTTGTAGCGGGGCTGTTAAGAACAGAATTCTGACCAGGTCCTTATGTTGCTATGATTTCAGGAGGTAAAGGTGTCAAGCCCTGACTACCCTGAAAGGAATAGGGAGAATGTGATGGAGGACTTCCTGAAGAGAATTGAGTGCTACAAAGTCACTTACCAGCCCCTTGACCCAGACAACTATGATAAGTAAGGTTCAACCCCATGATCTGAGGATTGAGATAGGAGGAAGAGTGTCTTTCTCCCTCTTGGTCTCTATCCTTTCTGGTAGTCTAAACCTATGATATTTATGTCATTTCTCAGAACAAGGTTTGTATTGTGATATTGTCTTAGTTGTGTTACTATTGCTGTGATAAAACACCATGACCGAAAGCAAGCTGGGGAGGGAAGGCTTTATTTGGCTTGCACTTCCACATTGTAGATCAACATTGGAGGAAGTCAGACAGCAACTCAAGCAGGGCAGGAACCTGTAGGCAGGAGCTGATTGATGCCAAGGACATGGAGGGCTGCAACTTACTGGCTTGCTACTCATGGCTTGCTCAGCCTGCTTTCTTTTTTTTTCTTTTCTTTCTTTCTTTTTTGGGGGGGGGCTTGGTTTTTCGAGACAGGGTTTCTCTGCATTGTTTTGTAGGCTGTCCTGGAACTTGCTCTGTAGACCAGGCTGCCCTCGAACTCACAGAGATCCACCTGCCTCTGCCTCCCAAGTGCTGGAATTAAAAGCGTGTGCCACCAACGCCCTGCCTCAACCTGCTTTCTTATAGAACCCAGTATCACCACCCCAGGGATGGCACCAACCACAATGGGCTTGGCCCTTTCCCATCAATCACTGATTAAGAAAATGCCCTACAGCATGGTATTACAGAGGCATTTTCTTAATTGAGGTTCCCGCCTCTCAAATGACTTTAACTTATGTTAAACTGACATAAACTATCCAGCACAGGTATTTATGTGGGTTGTATGTCTTACTTAACCTTGTTTTCCTATCTTCAGTTTTTCTTTTCTGTTTTTTAGAGCATTTGTTTTCAACCTGTGGGACTTCTGAGGGGGTAGAATGACACTTTCACAGGTGTTGCATATGACATATCCTGCATGTCAGATCTTCCATTACGATTCATAATTAGCAAAATTACAGTTTCGGAGTAGCAACAAGAATTTTATGTTTGGGGGTCACAGTATAAGGAACTGTACTAAAGGGTCTCATTAGGAAGGTGGAGAACCACTGCTCTAGAGCAAGGTTTCCATCTAAGCATTAGTGACATTTTGAACTATGGGATTCTTTGTTGGAGGGGCTACGCTGCATATTCTAATATTCTAATATGTTTAGCAGTCTCCTTGGCCTCTGTCCCCGAGGTGTCAGGAACACCTCCAAGCTGTGACAAGTGAAATGTTTTCCTATATTACCAAATGTGTCCTGGGGACCCAAATCATCTCTAGTTAAGAAGCACTGCTCCAGACTTAGAAAATCTGAACTAAAATGCTGTTGAGTATCCCTCATTAGTCTCCTCGATGTAAAGTTCACCATGTATAATTTGTATTTTAGTATATATGCTTACTGTATATGTATCATATAAACCCAGGGACACTGACTGAAGGACAAGTGTCGGATCAGTGTTACCTATCATGACTGGCAATGTCTCATGGCAGTGAGGCATGGAATACAGATTGACTTGCCTGGTGTAGGGTATAGTGAAATGTTAAGTCCATGTTGCAGAAAGACAGTGTATATTTGAAACCTGTGGGAACATTGCCTTATGAAATAGTGTGTTTCGTTTTGAGTTTTTGAGACATTCTCAAGGAGTCCATGCTGACCTTTAACTTACTATATAACAGAGGATGACCTTGAACTCCTGACCCTTCTGCTTCCACCTCCCAAGTGCTGGGATTTATATTTTGATGAAACAACCGCTATATCCACTACTTTTCTCATCAGTGTGACAGGCCACTTGACATAAGGAACTCTAGGAGGAGAAGTTAGTTTTGGCGTGGTGTTCAGCGGGTACAGCCACCGTGGTAGGGGAAGCACGGGAGCAGGACTGGCTTCCATCCACGGTGGTGGAAGGTAGCTGCTTGCTCACATCTCACAGGCTCAAGAGGCAGAAAAGCTGGGCTCACCGGCTTTCTCCCTCCCCTCCACCGCATTTTTTGAGTCAAGGTCTCACTGTGTATCCTAGGATAGCCTTGAGCTCAGGGCAACCCTAGTGCCTAGGTCACAGGTATGAGGCCGCATGCCTTGCTCCATTTTTTTTCTCTTTGTTCAGTTCAGGACCCTATAGACCACGAGATGATACTGTCTACAGTCAGGGTGAGGGTTCCTCCCTTATTTAGTCTTGTGCCCAGAGGTGTGTCTCTAGTGCCCTAGGCATTTCTTAATTCAGTCAAGATGATTATCAAAACCATCACAACTGAACATAGCGAAGTGTTAAATCACTATAGTTATCTCATTAATGTCTTCAACTTTTTCACTTTCTTCAAATGAATTTCTCAGAATTCATATTTAGAAGCATGTCCATAAAGTGGCTGAAAGGCCCCACCCTAGATGCTGCATAAGGAGATAACCTTAAGTCTCTCTATGTCTGTGTAGAAAAGCTTTCTAGAGGGATGTTTATGTTTATTAGCATGGATGCTTATAGATTTTTATCTCTGGTGGTAGATCGATGGGTGCTTTTTCTTATTGTATATTTTTCTCCTGGTCATTATTTTGAATAAGCTCTTATTACTTTAATTTTAAGAAAAATCCTATGGCTACAAAGCAAATGGCGGCATTGTCTTTGAGAGGAATTGATTAGGTGAGAGAGATTGATTAGGTGGTTCAGGGTGCTGCAGGTACCCTGATTTTTTCCTTCCTCTCCTCCTCCTGAGTTGTCATTCTTTGTCTAGATTTTGACCACGTTATATGGAGCCCATGTGTCTCACTAAATTTTGAATTTAGCAAAATCTTCAAGTTACTTAGTTCAGCCCTGAATTCTGTTTTCCACACTTACAAATAATGCATGGCACAGGATAGACACTAAGAAGATAGTACATACTTACTGTAAGTTCAATAAATCATATGCCAACCTAGTTTGAAGATGTAATCTATCTCTTAGCTTTGTTGTTCTATAAATATGGCAGTGACAGGGAGAGAAGGAATAGCTGATGAGGCCCTACCAGTCAATACACAGATCATTCTCCCCATACTTTTCATATGTTCATTTGTCTTGAGTCAGGGTCAAACCTAAGCCCCTTCCAGCTAAGCCTTCTAAGTGCTGGGATTGTCACTAGGTGCTGATAGCCTTGCCCCCTTGCTTGCCACACTCCTAGTTTCAGATTTTCTGACCATAAAATTGCTTCTTTCTACTCTGTCCTAGGGATCTGTCTTTCATCAAGGTGATTAATGTAGGCCAGAGATTTCTGGTCAACAGAGTCCAGGACTACATCCAGAGTAAAATTGTCTACTACCTTATGAATATCCATGTCCAGCCTCGCACCATCTACCTTTGCCGGCATGGAGAGAGTGACTTCAATCTTTTGGGAAAGATTGGGGGTGACTCTGGCCTTTCACTTCGAGGAAAGCAGGTAAATAGCCAGCAGGCTGGATTTCCTTAGCTTAGAGTTAGTAGGGCATGGTGGAGGTCATCTGTTTTATCCCCTCCTGCTTAAATCCCATTTGGGCTTAGGCTGTGGTTTCACATAACTAGGCAAGTGCTAAGGATGTTCTCTGCTTACTGTTCTGGATTAAAGTATGGGTCACTTGAGAACTTTCTGCTGTGATCGTTCAGCCATCGGGAAATTACTGTGCACGATTTGTGATGTGAGCAGTCTTGCAACTGAATTACATTTCTTCTCCGGTTTATGGTTTGACCATGGCTAGTAGTTTCTGTGTGTTTTGTTTGTGTGGTGTGGTGGGTTTTCTTTGTTTAGCTTTTATTTCCAAACCCCAGTTTGCTCAGGCTCTGAAGAAGTTTCTGGAGGAACAGGAGATCCAGGACCTCAAAGTGTGGACGAGCCAGTTGAAGAGAACTATTCAGACTGCTGAGTCCCTGGGGGTGACCTATGAGCAGTGGAAGATCCTAAATGAGATTGATGCTGTGAGTAGGCACTTCTGATTGACACTCTCAAAAGTTATAATCTGGGTAACTTGGAAAACTAGACTCATCAACTAGAAACTGAGCAATCTGAATCCAGCCATTCAGAGGTTAGACGAGAAAGAGCTTCCTGGCTGCTGTCGTACCTGAACCCAAGGAGAGACCCACACCAGTCTGTAACTGAGCCACTAGTATTTGAGGAGAGTGATGCTTACAAGGACTCATTTTGTTTCCCTCCTAGGAAAAGGGAAATTCCCAATCCCTCAGCTCTATAAGACTTGCTTTGATCATTCAGTCAGCAGTTCTGGGAAAGTCTTTCCCCAATTTTTTTGGCATTCTTTAACCTCTTAGTTCAAATATACACTTCTTTTTGTCTTATTGATACCAGAACTCACTCTAGCCCAGGTTGGCCAGGAACTCAGTCTGCCTGCCTTAGTGTCCCAAATATTGAGCTGACAGGCATGAGCCCCCATGCTTGGCCTAGATGCTTCTCTTTCCATCCTTCCCTACCCTTGTATTCATCCCACAAGGTTTCTCTTTCCCTCAGTTCCCCCTCCTCTGATTCCTGCTGTCCTGCAGATTCTTGCTGAGCTGTGAATTCCCTTGCAGTAGGATAGAATGGCAGCTCAAACTAGAGAAACCAACTCTCTCTGAAGTGCCTCCTATGATGGCACCTTTGACACCTGACTTCCTGGTCACATCACACAGGTGGACATAGCACATGGCCTCCACACAGGGAGGCACTGGTGTTCCTCAGTGTTATCTTCCTCATCTGGGATGGGGAGAGTATAGGGTAGCCCACATCCTGATGCTGGTACGGCCTTTGCAGGGTGTGTGTGAGGAGATGACATATTCAGAGATTGAGAAACGGTACCCCGAGGAATTTGCACTTCGAGATCAAGAGAAGTACCTGTATCGCTATCCTGGTGGGGAGGTGAGGCTTCGTTCACTTGAACTAACTGCCTAGTGCTTTGCTGGGCACTTTTCTTTAGGGGACAAGAAAGGGTGACCTAGGAATCCCTTGTTATCCTGCCTTTGGTTATACTGTTTAATTTAGCTTAGACAGCTAGTGCTTTACGTTTTGTTAGGTTTTTAAGATCTCTAGGGGACAGGGTGACAAGATACCTTTTGTGTTGAAATGTTATAGAATGAATACAATCTTGTTTCTTTTTCATTCTGTTTCTTCTACTCTATTCCTACAAGCAGATAGAGTCACCAAGTAAGTATGGGGCATGAGTTACTTACTTACCATGTTTTAAGTACTTATTGTTATTGAAATGACTTCTTACCCAAAGATAAATGAAATGTAATGGCAGAAATTCCAGAAACATGTAGAACTCTTTTGTTGCTCTACATACTGCCTATTGATGTCTGTGAGGAAAAGAGAAATAAATTGAATTCACACGTGCATATCTGGAACTGTGGTTTTTGGTCTAAGTATTGCTTTTGAAAGATCTGATTTTTCTTAGGAAACCAGGGCTAGGGTAGTTAGGCAACATAGAGGCACTATGCCTCCCAGAATAGTCTCATGATTCTGGAACTTAGCCTCCAGCTTGGCTGCTAGCATGCACCTGGCCTCTTACCAGCTCTCCTTACTTCTCCTGAAGTCATACCAGGACCTGGTGCAGCGACTAGAGCCTGTCATCATGGAGCTGGAGCGCCAGGGCAATATCCTCGTCATTTCCCACCAAGCTGTCATGCGCTGCCTCCTGGCCTACTTCTTGGATAAAGGCGCAGGTACTGTGAGGGAAGGGATGGGGGAGGGATAAGCACACACACAGGGACAAGGCTGGACTCAGGGTGCCAGGGTTTCTGACCACCGGCTCTTGTTTTCTTCCATTCATATTAGAGTACATTCTCAGGCTGCAGTGTGGAGCTCCCGGCAGCCATTGATCAACCACTTACTCACTTCAGTGTGCTGCTGCAAAAGCCAGCAGTGGAGGATGGCTGATTGGCCTAAAGGGCCAGCTCCAGCTGACATGACTGGCAGCATCAAGGTGGCTGGTTGGATAGTCCAGTTTGTCTGTCTAGGTATTGCGGATGGTTTATTAGAACTGTCTCCACCCTTCAGGTTGGGAGTAGAGCAGTTGTTTTAGGAAAGCAGTAGGAAGTGCTGCTCTGGCCTGTCTTTGTCCAGTCCTCAGGCCACTTTTGAAGCCTTTGGTTGCTTTTGAGTGCTCAGGTAGGTCATAGTCTTCCTTTCCAGGAGGCCTTGGCTTCAGAACCTCTTCCTTTTTTCTTACATTTCAGATCTGCACTGACCTTATTTCCTTCCTTACCAGTCAGTAGCTTGGGTGACTTCTTTGGACTTGCCAGTTTGCTGAGTTTAGTGGAGAAGCCGTGCCACTCTAGGTGATGGTCAGGATAAAGAAAGCTCACGAGCCTCTTAGATTCTCTTTTCCCCAAATGACCTAGTTCTATAGTACTTAGACTGTCTTCACCAGGTCTTTTTTCTTTCAGATGAGTTACCATACTTGAGGTGTCCTCTCCATACCATCTTCAAACTTACTCCAGTGGCCTATGGTAACTATGAGCTTGAGCTGGTGAGGGGTGGGGACTGAGGAACATTCCCTGTGTAGCAGGGATGTTGTGTTAGTAGCTTCCACTTGAAAAGAGCATATGTACCCGTATCTCTTTTGAGAGCACACATATGCCCCAGTGTATGATCATGCTAGTACTGAAGAGTTTTCTTTGAGCTACTCCTTGGTGGCTTTTTTCTCTTCCTCCTCCTCCTCTCTACCGCTACCCCCTTTTGCTGGTTATTTATTTCTTGTGCTTGGTTTTATTTTATTTTGCTTGTTGGGACTAGTTGGGTCTAGCCTGGAACTCTAGGTAGTATGGAACTCATGAAAATTCACCTGCCTCAGCCTCCAAGTACTGGGATTGCAGGAGTGAGCCACCATGCCTGTGACAGCTTTTCTTTCTGTTGTTTTCCAGGTTGCAAAGTGGAAACAATTAAACTCAATGTGGAGGCTGTGGACACACATCGTGATAAGCCAACTGTAAGTATTTCCTGGTCACCTTGAATCTCTAAATCTTTGTTATTAAGAGACTTGGGTTTCTTTTATGTACTAAGAAAAGCAAAGCCAGAATTCATGGCCTGCAGTGGTCTCCTTACTTACAAAAGGGAAAGATGAAGGAATTTTTAGTTATTTAAATGAGTATTTCTTTCATGAATCTTAGCCCTGAAAGTTATCTCCTGGGTATTGAGTTCATATAAAAAGTGCTTGGCTGAAGTGAAATATATGAATTCCCTTGCTGTACCTCCAGAGAAGTCTCCATTTACAAAGCAGGGTCCAGGGGGTCATTGCCCGTATAGTCAGCAGATGCAGGTCAGCTCCTTCCTTGGTCTGGTCTTGGCAGCCTGTGTGGTCTTAAGCAAACACCTTTGCTGGCTCCCATACTGCTCTTCAATGTGGTGCTCAGGGATCTTTCCCTGTGATGACCCTTTTATTCCTCTGGGGCTATGGGCCCAGACTCTGCCCCTCTCGGTCCTGTATGTAGAGAAGCAGGAGGAAGAGCAGTTATGCTCAGGAGCATTGTTTGACCTCTGTGGGTAAGGTTTTGGTATGGCTTTCATGTATGTGGTGTCCCTCCATTTCCAATCAGCACAACTTCCCCAAGAACCAAACCCCTGTAAGGATGAGAAGGAACAGCTTTACGCCTCTGTCCAGTTCGAACACAATAAGGCGTCCAAGAAATTACAGTGTTGGGAGCCGGCCCCTCAAGCCCCTCAGCCCTCTCCGTGCCCTGGACATGCAAGAAGGGGCGGACCAGCAGAAGACCCAAGTCAGCATTCCGGTGGTGTAATTGTGTGTTTCCCTCCAGCTTTGGCCTCTTGCCCTTGCCACTAATCAACCAAGAAGTCATTTAACTTTACCCTGCTCCTGTCCCAACATTAATCTGAACATGGAATATAAGCTCATGCATGTACAGAGCAGCCTTAGTCATTCTCTAGTGTAAACACCTCAGCCGGGGGCAAGATGGCAAGTTGGATCTTTTTAGGACAGCTTCCCAGATGGGATGGTCTAAAGGAAGAGGAGCCAAGCATGAGTCATGGACTTGGTTCTTCTGCTGTTTCCTCGTGTCTGACCCACTAATGTCTCTGAAGTGTGTGTGGGGGTGGGTGGAGGTTGGGTTGGGAGGGAGTACTGAATAGAGGAAGATACAAAAACCCATTTGTCCTTTATCTATGTCCTTTTAATCTGTCCTTACACTCCTTACTCAACTTCCATGTCTTCTAGCTTCTTTGGATTGTCTGGTTTGATGCATGGCATTGTGGTGTGGTAAAATAAGGGATGGCTGATAGGAGTCTAAGTCCCGTTGGTGCTGCCTGCAAATGGGTCTGCATCTGCACTGGGAGAGTCTTTCCCTTCCCTTCTCCCTTCCTCTCCAGCCAGGTCCTGCAAGGGTTAGCCCAGCCTACAGAACATCCACAGAAAGCCCTGGAGTTTGCAAGTGGACATAGGGTGAGAGCTCTCGCCTCTTTTCATGAGAAACAATCCTAAGTTTTTGCTGTACTGGGGAACTGGCTCTAAGGATGTTGTAGACATGTTTTGATTTGTGTGACAGTCCTTTGCTGGCTGTGGAGTGGGGCTGGGGTTAGGGTGAAGTCTAGTTCTTACAAATTCCCAGTTCAGACTTTTTATCCTGTGACTCTCAGTTTCTTGACTATTCCAGTAGCTTGTGACCTTTGGGGCTGTTTAAAAACACCAGGATCACCATTAAGCCCCGAATTTCTACAGGCAAAAGACAGGGTGGTTAAGTTCAGTAACACCACTCATTGCTTATCAATAGTTTTTAGAATAATTTCCTTAAGCCAAGTTTTTTCATGAAAATTATTTTTTGAGCATAAACATGTTTTGATGATGAATTTAACCTCTCTTATTGGGGAGTTCTGTTTATACTGAGAAACTGTCTCAATATTCCAAGGAGTCTTCTGAGGTTGGACTCTTGGAAGTTTATATGTGTATCTATTGCTTGCTTTAAGGGGATTCTCTCTGTATTGGCCCAGGGCCTTGTCTGCTGAGCTCAATACCAACCCACTCATGTCCCCTCTTCTAAGGGACAGTTCTAAAGGTCTCAGAAGATTTTTCAGAAGAGACAGTGACTCCTTACCTCTCAGTTTGTCATGTGGGGCCAACTGGTGAGGGAAGGCTAGCAATTTCTTATGAGACTTTGTCTTGTGACAGAAAACTTTTTGCATGGCTTTAATCCTTAGAGTGTGCTGTAGAATTTTTGAAATATATACATGCCTGGTTCCCTTGAGTCAGGCTGAGTACTGCCTTAAAATCTCTGGGATTGGAGCCTAGATATTTGGGTGTTTAAATTACATCCTCAGTGGTCATCCCGCTAAGAGTCAGTTGAGGGGCTGGAGAGATGTCTCAGCACATGCTGCTCTTCCAGAGGTCCAGCACTTGTCCCCTAGCATTAATGTTGAGTGGCTTACAGCAGCCTGTAACTCCAGCTCCAGGGGATCTAATGCTCTCTTCTGGGATCCCCAGGGGCTTTTATATATTAGTTCATATGTACATAGACACAGAAATACACATAAGTAAACCTAAAGTTAAATCTTTTTTTTAATCCCACTTTATGAAGCTGGATAGAAAAATGCCAGTATATTAGTATCTTAGACAAAGTATGTATCAGACCGAAAATTCTGAATTCTTGGTTCTGATGCTGGGGCCGAGCACAGTTTTGAAAGGCAGGCTGCTTTGTTAGAAAGGCATTCAGGGTTCTAGTCCCATCTTTTCCCTTGGCTTTGCAGGGGGACGTGCAGCACATTACTGACTTAAGCACATACCGTTGGGTCCATACTGAGAACTCTTGCAAAGTGATAGAACATGTGGACCGATGGAGGTCATCACTACAGGCTGCTGACCTCTGGTCTCGAGTCCTCTACCCTTCCATCCCATATAGAACACTCCAGCTGATTTCAGAAGCTGCCTAGGTGCCTGAAACATCCAAGACAAAGAAACTGGGAACTTCTTTTAGGCAGTGTTCCTTGCCCCCTCTTGACCTTTGTTTGTGGGCACTGGCCTTAGTGAGGAAAACATGCAAAAAGACAAAAATTTTTTTTTCAATTTCCTTGCCCTGGAGATTATAAACAGCAACAACAAAACTGCCCTTAAGAGGTCAGACATATATGTATGTAGGGAAAAGCTCACATTCCCAAGATACTGTCCATGCTTCCTTTGGACATGGACAGGGGTATGTGGGACAAGTGGGAAATAAAAGGAGAAGGGAAAGCAAATTTCTCTCTCTTGGATCCTGGCCACTGTGAGGACATTGGAGCGCTTCACAGTGAGTGAGTTCTATATTCAATAAAATATCTTAGACCTCCTTTTCAGGTAGCATTATTTCCATTATCATATGTGTGTTTAGGGCTGACCAATTAGGATTGGGTATCCTATCAGGGCCTTGTTTCTGGAGAAGACCTAGTCTCCCTCTCTCAGTAGCCATTGATTACCTGTGGCTCTTCATCTAGAGTAGGTTTTTTATTCATGCATATGTATATATATGTATATAAATGCAACAATAACTAGAAGAGGAGATTATGAACTTGAAAGAGAGTAGGGGAAATTTTGAAGGAGTTGGATGGGGACCCGGAGGGCTAGAATACAGTACTCATGTAAGAAATACTAAAAATAAAATTGAAAAATACAGAAGATGTAACTGATAAATGAATATTTCAAACAGACTAGGAGAGCTGACACTGGATACAGTATAGCCTGTCTTCTGACTGTTTTCTTGTTCTGTGGCTGCGAGACCCCAAAGGTTTGGGATGTCCTCTCCTCACAGTGTGAGGGTGAGATGTGGCCTGGGCAGTATGTCTGGTACTTTTACACAGTTCCCTTGTCTACTGCAGTTATTACCAGCTTTGATCTAAATTGGCATTCAGTTCTTTCTTCTGCTGCCAGGTAAGGGTAATTCATAGATACTGAGTAGTAGGAGGAAGAACCCTGATCTAATGGCTAAGGATCTAAGAGGAGACTTTGTTGACCACCTGGAACTGAGCCAGCCTGTTGTAAATACCATCCGTAGGGGTTCACTGGACCATCATTCTGACTCTCAGTCTACACTCATTCTTCGAGTTTCCTGTGTTAGTTCTCTTCGTGTATATGAAGAGCTGGGGTAGTTTTACTATCCATGGATAAAAGGAGTGGAAGTTGGAGCTGAAAAGCAGCAGGGGTTTCAACATCCTTCACCTTTTAGAGCAAGATCCTTCAAGGAGCTGAGCAGGAGAAGCAGAGTGGAAAGTACTTATTCCAGAGTTAAGGGAAGTTCTAATTCACATTTTCTCCCCTTTTCCCTTGTTACTTATGGGTGGGAGATTACCTTGCTCTGAGTGCTTGCGTCTGGGGTGACGTGTGGTGCCCTGTATGGAGACTTTCAGTTTTGTTGTGGAGGGAATAGGTGAAGACTTGAATCTACCTATGTGAATTCTACCTGTGTAAAATGGAAGAGAAAGTAATATTTTGTATTTATTTATTTATTTACTTTTAAACTCAAAGTTGAATGGGAGATGAACCCCTGCAGAATGGTGGGAGGGGTGCTGGAGATGTAGATCAGTGGTAGAGTACTTGTTTAGCATATAGGAGGCCCTGGTTCTGTCCCCAGTACTGGGGAAAACAAAACAACCACCCCTGGATGAGAAAGTCACGAAATGGATTTGAGAGAGGAATGTAAAGGAGATTTAGAGAACCACTACTGGCCTATCTTGTTTCCAAACTAGAATTTAGCACTTATTGATCATTGGTAAAGGAACCATTTCATTGTTTTTAGACATGCATTATGCTGTGTGCTTACCACTCTTCCTGGATCCTGAGAAGCCAAGTTAGGGAAGCAGCATGTGTGTTCCTGGACCAAATGTTGAGCGTTTCAGGCAAGGATCTGAGTGAGTAATCCTCATAGAAATCCACAGTTGATCTCCAGGTACCCCATTTGAGCAAACAGGGTAATTGTTAAGGAATTAGTCTGCCTGATGACTTTCTGGGACAGGCGTGATCTGGGTTCCAGGGAAGCTCTTTAGTGCTAGAAGTGCCCAGTGAACAGGGGAAGTAGAGCATGGAACTCTTAATCCCAGGGTTGTGGGTTCATGCCCCATGCTGGGCACCAGTTGAAGGTGAGGAAATATAATCAGTTCACCAAACCCAAGATGAATGATAAATAGGTGTTTATTGGGGAGAACTTACACAGATAACAATAAGTAACTGTCGTGGTGTTCCTGCTCCAAGGATGCAGACCCTGCCTCCTTCCCTCCACCCCTCTACCTTAAACAGTCGTATTTGCACCTGTAACCATGCCCATGCCCTAAAGGTGTGGCTATTGTTACAGGTTCACGGGCAAGGTATCACTACAGGGAAGCACAGTAGGTACCTGAAGCAGCTCTGAGTGATGGGATTTCATGCACGTCTCACTGCGTCGCCAGTCTCAGAGGAATGTTGTATTTGTTGAAGTTTTAGTAAATTACCCAATTTTCCTTGTATTCATTTTGACTTATGTTTTGAAGCATTTTTATTTTAAAACTATATAACAGTTGAGCCAGGTAGCAGTACTGCTGTACAGGATCTCAACTTTTCCCTAGAGGTGATGGACACAGATCTGAAGTGTGACTGAGAATTTTATTTTCTAGGGTCCAGAAGATAGGCCTTTTTGCCAGCTGTCTCTCATATCTCATTGTCCTGATTGGTAGTCTGTTTATATTACTATAATCCCTTGGCTTTTACACATGTCCTTCAAGAAAGGAATTGAATATCTTGTTTCCTTAATGGAGAAGTTCTTTTCACTGACTTTTTATAGATAATTATTGTGTAATAGTGACCAACTTCTCATTATTTTTTGAAAGGTGATGTTGTAGATTACTTGTATGGCATTTTGTGATCCTAGCTAACTAAGGTGATGACTTATAGAAGTCACATTAACAGTAAAGATGTGACTTTACTTGAAGTTCTTTCATTCAGTCCATTGCTTCAGGACAGGACTTCCCTTTTACCATCCATCCCTGAACCTTCTTATGGGCTGCAGTTCTCACTGAGAATGCTGCTGTTTTTAGTCTGCTGTGTATTTGACCTTAATCTCATACAAAGGGAGATGTGCATCCAAATACTGATCTCAAGAGTATTTCCGTAAGCTTTTCACTGGGTGTGTGACTAATACTCATGTGACTCAATCTTTAAAGAAACTTCTGAATTGTGTGTAGTTTTTCTGTTGTTGAAGCAACAAGATCACCGTTCTCAGATGTGGTGGCTTTCCTGTGGCAAAAACAAAGGGCCTATCACAAATGGGGCATGTGATGTAGAGAGAGGCTGAGCACCGCTGGTTTGGATGGAAATAGGCTGAACTTGGGAAGCCTAGTAACAGAATTTTATTTCAGATTTCTTAGGCACAGCCCTGCTGAAAGTGGGGATGCCAATCCTTGTAGCATTCTGATTTATTTCGTGGTATTAATAATGAAATGTTGCATTGGGTCCATTTAAAGTGTATATAATTGTATTTGAAATGTGTTTTATGTGCATTCCTGTGTAGAATGGGTTAATAAAGTCATTGAGTAACTTGATTTTATCAGAAGGCTTCTGGTTTTTATTATTATTAATTTGCTTTGCATTTTGAACTGTTCCTCCTATCTACTGTCTTCTAAAATGGCCTCATACTTGACAGGCTGAGACTTAGCAAACTAATGGAAGTTCTCAGAAAGCCTGGAGTCCAGGGTCATAGGCATGGCTCTCTTCCTCCACCTTCTGGGGGAGGGTGGGGAGGACATTGTTGGTGGTGCAAAAACTTTAGTTGTTAGTCACTTGCACCTTCTGGTACCTGTGCAAGAATTAAGAACTATAATAGACCACACTGCACATAACTTTTGTTATCTATTGAAAAGAAAAAATTTGTGAAATCTTTAAGAATTTACCAAGCTGTTGTTTCTAAAGTAAATCCTGCCAGTTTCCAAGCAGACTTCATCCAATGGTATGAAATAGAACTTACCATCTCCTGGAGCAGAAGATACCGATAGGTATCTACTGTTCTCTTGCCTTATCCCACATTGTGCTAGCAAGGCCCGAGAGCTCATTAGTAATTTAGAATGAGAGGCTTCTGCCCAAACTTTCTAAACCATGATTTTAGCAAGAGCACTAGGTGATTGGATTCATAGGTACATTTAATACTTTAGAAACAAGCTTTCTAAGGGAAAGAATTAAACATTAAATACCAGTTCATGGGAAGAAGTTGATCTACTCTGGCTCCCGAGTATTATGGGGTAACCATAATAGTTGGGACCCTCCTCAGAAGCCATATAGCTTGTAATTGCTACTGGTGTGTGTGTGTGTGTGTGTGTGTGTGTGTGTGTGTGTGTGTGTGTGTGTGTGTGTGGTGTGTGTGGTGTGTGTGTGTTAGGGGTGGTGTGTCTTTTGACTGATGCTGCCTGCATTACCACAGAGACCCAACCCACTTCTGCTTTATATCTTAGATATGCAACTTAGAGTCCAGTTCTGAAGCAGACAGGTGCCCTATTGCTGTCATTAGGTCAGCTACTCTTGGAAAGAAGCCATTGAACAGCTAAGCCATTAAAGTTTACCTGAGTCCCCAGGGTTAAGGTGTGTGCAGGCACACCAGTATGTCCTCACATGCATTTGGATGTGGGGATGAGGTCACAAATGTTGGTAGGGTGGGGGTGGATTCTTATTGCGTGTCTGTTCATCATTTGGCTGTGGTATAATGGCTTTGCTTCTCTTTCTGACTCCTAGGAAGTGGAGAATGTGCTGGCTGAGCATAGACGCCCCTCAATGGCATCCCTCACATTGCTCTCCTGATGGTGTGAGGCTGAGGCCAGACCTCTCCGAGGAACTGGATCTACTAAAAAGCCTGGGATGCCAGCATCACTGAGGCTAGAACAGGAAATTAAGTGGGAACTTCTCGTTTGAGGCTACCAAAAATGAGGCCTGGAAAACCTTGACTACGTTTCTTCCCCTCATGCCTAACAGGATTATTGCTACACTGTGCCTCAAAAATCTTTAACAGCCCGAAGGAGTTAGTTCTTATCTCTTTTGACCCAAGTTTGCAAATGCTATCCTACTTAGGCATTCAATATTCTACCTATGACTGCCTGCATCCTTAGCTGGAGATTGGCCTGACATGCAAATGCACTGCTTTAGAATTGGTTTCTAGGTGAGGATGAACTTCAGGAAGGCCATGCTTGGTAAGAGCTGTTCGTTGGATCTGTTGAGGGTGAGCACGCTGAAGTGCAATGTGAGTGCTAGCGGTTACCTCTTACAATGTGGAAAATGAGATCTTTCACCAGGGAAATGAAGGGCGTCAGAACTCAGCTCTGAAGTGCCTCTCCTCTGGCCACAGAAGAGTAGTGTCCATGGCTCCCTTTTTATTTAGAGAGGTTTTTCTTCCATACTCTTTGGTGCAGGGTCTGGATGCCAGACTTCCCCAAAGGGGACCAGCCTTTACATTCTCTTGTAGCTACTATCTTTTCTCTCTGACTTGTGCCTCACAGAGCCAGAGAGGACTGATTGATTCAGTGCCTCCTGAGGGATTGGGAATGAAGGCTAGCTGGAACCATATCCATCCCACCACGAAATAAAGATGGCTTCTCGAAAATAAATTATACTGGGGATTTTTTTTTAATTTCAAAATAGGCAGAGGCAGACATGACCCTTTCATCTGTCTCATTGATGTGATCTCTAGGAAGGCTGTGGATATGACTGCTAAGTAGTGGTCCTATGATGGATGCCTCTGTTGTAGCTGTCACTACTGTGATGTGCTGGTCTCTCATGACACTTGACAGATACAGCGTGGCCTCTGTGCGTCAGTGAGTGGATGCCCCTTTCAGATGAATCAGATTGCTGTTCCTAGATCACCGAGTATCAAATGTGTACACAGTCACTATGAATACACTTCTATTGTGTTACTCCTGAAGAATGCAGAAGCCACAAAGTGCATTGTACCTTACAAGTAGAACCTAGTGTTTTTTCTTTTGGTTTCTTTCCTTTTCACTTGAAATGCTCACTTGTTGGGCAGAAAAATAGTAGCAAGAAAAGTCATGAAATGCTTCTTTTTCTACATGGTTCTTTTATATTTTGGACAATACTGGAAACGGTTACCTAAGCAGGATGTGGTGAACTGCGGGCAGTTCAGTGTCTCCCCACCCGCAGCTCGCAGCTCTTTGTGTGCACATCAGCTGGAGGGAGGCTCCTTGTTCTGCTCAGCGTAGTCAGTTTTCCCTGTTACTTGTAGCGTGCTGTACTACAAGGGTTTGTTCTTGTGGTGCAGGCTGCTTTCTGCATTGAAGTACACTCCTGGTATTTTTATGAAACTATTTATTGTGTGTGAGGATTTTGCATGTATTTAATCAGAATGTCATGTATGTTCTGTGTTCTGCTAGCTGTGTATGTGGCTTGACTCCTAAGCCTCATGTCCATAGTATTACCTTAAGTTAAATTTGTAGAGCATAAATACATGTGTGTGTAAAAGAGTGATAACTATGTTATGACATACATTTAAATTTTTTTCGTTGATTTTATTATAAACCAAGGATTGCATTTCTCTGGAGAAAAGTTCTCTCTTGGATAGTAAAACCATGCTGAAATATCTGAGTTACATAAACTGCTTTTATAATAAAAATAAAGTTATTTTTAATTAAAAGGTGCAGTGAAATTTTTAATTTACATGCAAAAGAAATCATTTGGTACATTATAGATGCACAAAATATAAGTGTTTTCCAAAATGTACTTGAAAGTTTTTAAAGAAATTATTCCGAAGTTATTAAATGGTATCTGTTTTCAGCTACTGTAGCGTCTTCAGTTAGTGACTATCAAGTTCCTCTAGCATTTCAGTCAGTAGGATTGTTACAACCATGTATTATTATTCATTGATTTACATGTATTTAGTGACTGCCTGTTGATTGACAGGTAATGAATAACTCAATCCAGTTCTGGGAAGCCACAGACAAGCAGGTTAAATGTACCTCCTTAAGTTGGGGGTGGGTATTAATAGCCTTGGAGGCCTTTGAGGATGGGCCCTTCCCTCCTGGTTGACTTTTGAGCTCATCTCTTGTTTTCCCTGGTAACAATAGAAAGGCAAGCACCATAGAATCTAAATTATTGTATGGAAAGGCAAAGTTATTGTAGAGGTTTATTAAGGTAAAGATACTTCCTCCTGATAGTCTAACAGAGTCTAAGTTTTATCTTTCTGTCCCTGGGTGGAGAGCTAACATTCTGTGACTTCTGAAACATTGTATACTATAGTCTTTTAAGAGTTAACCAGCTGGACCTGTCAGTCACCGGACCAGGAGTCTACCCCCGCCCCCTCTGGAAATCTGACTTGCTTGATGTCATGTTAAGGAGAGGGGAGAATAATTAATGAAATCAGGCATCATCTAGGAAGAGGTTGTGCAGACTGATAATGAAGTGTCCTTGCAGAAGCCACTACTTCAGAAGCCTGTGGGTTCTTCCCTCAGGCATCACTGCAGAGGCCCTCTACTTTCAGAAATGTACCCTTCCCTTCTTTCTTTCCCACCAGTTCAATGTAGAAGCATACTTTCCCAGGCACCCTGGGATTTCTCATTCTTTCTCTGAAGTACTCCATCCCCAACCCCCATGCAATTGCTTGACAGCCTCCAATGCACAGGACCCAGTTTTACTTTTTTCTCTTCACACTATCTCCTGCCTCTTGGCAGCCTTAAGATTTGAAGACTTGCCTTCAAACTAACAAAATTGTTCACAGGTTTCCTTCTGACTCTGTTTTAAATTCTTTTTATCAATTAGACTAAGAACCCAAAAAGAAATTCTTAGTTTCCTAGTAGTACTTAAACTTCTGGCCTTCAGTACTGAGCACATGCCTGAGGTAGCTAATCTGTGGAAGCTGATCTGATATGGATGAATGTCCAAGGCATTCAAAACTAGTCTGCTTTGGCTCTCAGAAGGCTTAGCTCAGAGCAAGGCCACTGCTGCCTCCCAGGAAGACTACTATCAGAGCTATTCATAATGAGTCTAGATATAAAATGTGGGTCCCAGCTCTGAGTAGGTGGTTGTGCTGAGCCACTTCTGATTCAAGGCGAAGACCATCATTGCTTCTAACAACACATCACTTGTTCCAGAATACTTAACATTGAAACAATGGCTGACTGCTCATGTAGTCAGCCTACCTCCTGATAAAAGCAGCCCCTTCAGTCGCCTCTAGGGAGACTTTGTCTCTAGTCTTTCCCACTGTACTGAAGTGTGTCTGATCAACACAGCCTCTGCCTTCTTGTATCTTTGATGCACTCATTCTCCTGCCTTATCTTCCCTGACTGCCAGTACTGTCCCTGGCACAGAAGAGAATTTAGAAAAGTGACTGGGAGGTGGCACTCAGTTTGATCTTCACTGGGAAGTTACCATTGATCGCACCATCTTCTGTCCCCAAAGCTGGAGAGAGCTGTAGGCAGTGAAGTGGAGACACTGGTAAATATTGACAGAGGTCAAGGTCGTGGCAGGACCATTTGGCCCATGCCTGTTGGGGAAGCATAAACCTGCAGTTCACAGTGACTGGTCTACTGGTTTACATTTCTAGAAACGGGGAAAGTTGTTAACATTTTAAATCTGGCAGCTGGCTAATCAATCTTTTGTGGTTGCAGAGCCACTGGATACACCATCTTCTTCCTGCTGTTCTTCTCTGGCCCAGGGAAGACTTCTCTTTTTCACATTTGTTCCAGGAGGAAAATATAACTCCTTCTCTAGAAGGAAGTTGTTCTGATCTTAAGTGGTTAGGAGGATGCTTGTGATCGAAATCACAGTTTAATTTCACCCTGGGTCAAGTAAGTGCTTACCAAATGCTTTCTTGGGTTGTGTGCTCTCTGATGTGGCTGATTTCTGCCTTAGATGGTAAGTATGATTTCCTAACAAGTTATTTCGTGTCAGTTTGTGGCTTAAGAGGCATTCTGTGTAGTATTTTAATGAAATTTATGTTTATAATGTTATTAAAATTCCTAATTAAGGTATATGTCCTATACTCATTGGGGATTTAGTATAGGTTAATGGTGATCTTGTTTCTTGAGGTGGGTGGTCATTTCTGACTTTCTCTTTTTATTCTGGGACCCCCCAAAAGTGACAATTTCAAAATCCTGAGATGTCAATTATAAAAACTCTAGGACTGGTACTTGGGGGAAGGGATTGCTTGTTCATGAATAGATAATTTGCAGTTGAATTTGACTACAATGCCTAGGATCTGTTTGGAAACATCAGAAATCTTTGGGGGAGAGGGAAGGGGATACACACAAGGAAGAGAGAGGACATGACATGGTGGGAAGATTACTTCAGCAAAGCCTTTGGAGGGAGGAATCCAGTTGGGCGTCCTTGAGCCAGTAATATGCCAAATGACTCCGTTCTCTTTTCTCCTTCCAACAGAAAGCTGTTCAGAGCTTCCTCCAGTGGACAATAGTGTATTTGTTGCAAAGGAAGTAGAAGGACAGATTCTGGGGGTTTACCTTTGTATCAGAGGTTACCACTTGGTGGGAAAGCAGTTTTTGGTCCTCAATCTCTCAGAGGAATGGGATGACTCCCCGCCTGAGTGCCGCTGTGAGTTTGGTTTTTCTGTCCATATTGTCATTTTCTATATTCTATTATATCCTGCTTCCTATAGGCCACATTAAAATTGTTAAAAAAAACCCAAACTCAATTTCTAAGAAGCTAATCGCCATTTCTCCCAGGTGCTTCTGAGACAGGATCTCGCTACAGTAGCCCATCATGCTGACCTGGAATTTGATATGTAACCCCTAGTGGCCTGGAGCTTAGAACCCCCTGCTAGTGCTTGGAATTTCAGGCACATCTCTAATGCCTATCCATCATGTTACTTTAAACTAGGGGAAAGCTATATTCCCAATTTACATATGTGATAAGTGAGATTCAAGTGACTCTAGGTGCCAAAACTCATTGTGCTATCTTCTCTAATGACAGAGCATAATTCTTCCAGATGGTTTTTGTTATTATTATTTTTAATAAGCTGTGTTAATTTTACATAACATTTTAGAGTTTCCTTCATATGAAAAAAATTACATCCCTCTCCATTGAATCCTGATTTTCAACAAGAAAGAAACAATTAAAATATATAGGAAAAAAGAAAGCAAGAGATGAGTAAGTACATATTTGGCTAGATGAAAGAAAAGACTTGCTTGAAACATAGGCTTAAAACACTTGAACAGTGTTCAACATAGCAGCATAATGAACATGTTACTGGAATAACTAGTTATATACTTCATTTTATGTAGTACAGTTGTCATTCATATTATTGTGCATGACCATGTTGTGTGACACTATTGCTGGGGAGACATGAAAAAATGTCTGCTCATCCCAGATAAGGAACTAATAACAGACAAGGTTGAGGATACTACCAAAGTCCAACTTGGTGAATCAATGGGTTTATTGGGGTTACTTGCAGGAGTATAGTGAGGACTTACTTCCAGAAGCAGAAATGACTCAATGACACTGTATCTCCCAAAGCCCACCCCAGCATTTATGATGACTCACGTAAGCTGGTAGCCTGCAGCCCTCTATCCAACTTGCAGGCAGCCAAACAGGTTGAGAACTCTCTTCCAGGCCACTCAGCTGGTCTGAGCAGCTTCGGGCAGTCCTTATTGTTTATGTATCATTAAGAAAGGAAGAGCCTTGTGAATCTGGCCAGGTTCAGGGAGTTCCTGACGCTTCTTAGCTGTTTTCTTGCTGAGTCCTTTCCCTTTCAAAGGTTGGAGCTCTTAAGGAGATTTGGAGGAAATTTCCATACAACAGTCCCACTCCTTTTTGTCCCCAGTGGGGTGCCTTGGTCTTTTTGCAGCCTGCATTGGTATGGTTTCATAACACACACCTATCCTTTTAGATACATGGGCACCATTAAGTTCTGAGTTGCTATCACCTTTCTGAGGCTTGGGAAAGTGTGACATTTACTTCTTCCTAGCCTCTTAGAGCACTGGCTGTTCTCTTCTTCAGTGGGCCACTGTCCTGAGCCTGTACTGGAAAATGGCAAGACCAATTATTCTGGACCTGTGAATGCAAGCGACAAAATCATGTTTAAGTGCAATGATGATTACATCCTCAAGGGAAGCAATTGGAGCCAGTGCCTAGAGGACCACACCTGGGCACCTTCCTTGCCCATATGCCGAAATAGTAAGTACTGATTAGAATTGTCACTCTGGGGGTAAAATTGCCTTTTGGTGCCCAATTAGTGTTTAAGCCAGAATAAAACCTTCACCTACTGTCTTGTGAATTACTTCTCCTTTCCCTATGATCCAAATTTCCTCTTTCCTTTCTTCCTCTTCCCTCCCCTCCTCTCCTAACTTCTGATCCTTCTGCTTCCACTTCAGGAGTGCTGGGGTGATACATGTGCCACCATTCCTGTTACCAGGTGCTGGTGTTTGAACCCAGGGCTTCATGCATGCTAGGCAGGCACTCTGCCAGCCGAGCCACACCTTCAACCCTAATTTGCCTTCTACACCAGTTGGCAGCTCTACAGTGTGTAGCTCCTTTCCTGGAGCTCTGCCGGCCAGAAAGGATTCCTGCTTCCTTGTAGCTCAGGGGGCAAGCTGGGGAAAGCATCTTTTCCATGGGCAATTGTTATTTTCATGAGAAAGAAATGGAGAGCACACTCTCTGGTCTCACTTGTCCCATTGTGAAGATGGCAGACTCTAGAGGACACACAGCATAGAAAGCTCTGCCCTGTTGATTGTACCTGCCTCTCACAAATCTCACTCCTGGCTGTCTTCCCCTCAGGAGACTGTGGACCTCCCGGGATTCCTAGCCATGGCTATTTCGAAGGAGAGTCTTTCACTGCAGGATCTATTGTTACTTATTACTGTCAAGATGGGTAAGCGTAGAGTACTTTTATACCCTGGTGGGAGCAGTTACTTTTCTATGGCTGCGTTAAAGCGCCACAACCAAGGCAACATGCAGAAGGAAGGGTTGATTTGGGTTTATGGTTCCTGAGGGCTATGAGACCATTAACTTCTTGGCAGCAAGCATGGCAACAGGTGCATGGTGGCTGGAGCAACAAGCAGAGAGCTCACATCTTAAACTCTCACTTAGCAGAGAGCATGAACTGCAAATGGCTTGAGTCTTTCAACTCTCAGAGCACCCCTCTTGTGACGTACTTCCTCCAACAAGGCCACACCTCCTAAGCCTTCCCAAACAGTGCCACCAACTGGGCATGAATTATTCGAGTGCTGGAGACTATGGGGGCACTACACTGTGAAAGTACTCTTTTTTCTTAGTTATTCAACCCACAGTCAGCTGGGACTCAGGAGAGAGAAAGGAAAAAGGTCCTGCAGGGAGATGCAATTGCCATTTGTTTATATAATATGTCCCTTTGGGAGTAATTCCTGCTACGGGGCACACTTGTTAGACCATTTTCCTAGCACGGTAGATGTAACAATGGTTAGGACCTTCTAGGGCTACATAAGGTATTCTGTGGATGGTGTTACTTCAGTTTGATCTGAGAGGAGCAAATTTCTGTCAGGTCCCCATAACTGGCTAAAGAGATCTGGCCATTTAATTTGTAGTCTCAGTGCTAGGGGCCTCTGTTGGGTAATTATGACTATTGCTCTATTGCTGCTGGATTTATTTTTGTTTTTTGTTTTGTTTTGGCCTTTTATTGAGCACTCTCAGTACTTTAGGGAAAAAAGTGGGAGTCTATCTTTAAAGCCAGATTCAGTTACTTATTCGCCTGTTCAATGTGTCCTGCTCGTAGTGAGTCCTGATCCTACTGGGTTGAAGGATAGACAGAAGATGCACAGTAGGCTTTGGCTACTAGGTCTTGATTACTCACCTGCTGTTTCACTTCATGACGTATAAAATACTCTTAGCAATTTTCAATTACCTAGAGATTCCCATATGGAGAATTCAGCTCAGTGATTACTGTCTTGTAGCTTTTGGGATGGCTCTTTTCCTGACAAACTTGCAGAAGTCTAGTGACAGTGTTAGGATGTATCAACTTAAACTGGACTTCCCCTGAACTGGGAAGAGGGTTGATGTGTGTATTTTCCATCTTAGTGTGCACTGTGGATGTCACTGAGAACATCCCACATATTTTTGGTGAGTATGTACAATGTCTGTCCTCACAGTCTCCACTGTGTTGTGACTGCTTACATGACTTTCTGGCCTGTGTACCCCATTCAGCTGTGCAACCTAGTGGGGACTTTTTCAGTCATTACTTCCAGGTCCTTGGAAGGATTGATGAGCGGCAACATGCTATAACATTTCTTGTTTGTGTTTTGCATTATACCTCATATCTCCCCATGACTCTTGCTCCCACAGTGGGTATCTGTTAATGAGCCACTGTTGACTCTGCCAGTGAGAAAGCCAAAATGGAAGGCCTATGAACAAGGACCAAAACTCTGTGCTTATAATTAGGAGTTTCTCTTCTCACATTGCTAGGATCCATACTGCATGGAGTCTGTCCCACTAACTGCTGTAAATTTGACCTTCATCAACACAAAAGCTTTCTGTCTTTCAGCAGTAGGCTACTGCCCTCTGTTAGAGGGTGGTTTCACTTTGCCAACCCACCAATTTATAATTGTTTCTCCTTCCTTCACTGATGAGTGGTGGTCCAACATTTCACCAGGTTAATAGTCACTCCTCCTTTGCTGTGGAATAATCCTTTTGTACATTGTGGAAATGTGTTGCTTTCGTTGTTAGTAAAAAAGGAGATTTGCTGATAGCCAGGCAGGATTTTCAGTACAGAGGGAATGCTGGGGAGGAGAAGGGCAGGGTCTGAGGGTTGTGAGCCAGACAACATAGGAAGTTCATAGATAAGGTAAACAAGCCTTGAGGTAGCACATAGATTAATAGAAATGGGTTAATTTAAGTTGTAAGCATTGACTGGAGACAAGCCTAAGCTATTGGCTAACCATTTATAATTAATATTAAGTCTCTGTGGATATTTGGGAGCAGCTGATGGGACAGAGCTGATTGGGTCCCAACGGAAAAACTCCACCTACACTTCTTCTATTTGATAGTTAATGAGGGTATCAACACTCTTGGAGTTCTCTACTAAGGGAGAATGTGCTATCTACATATCTAGGATAGTCTCACTTAACTGAAGTAGTTATCAGTGCTGTACCCCAACTATGGATGGGTCTATAACTAATGTTATCTAGCTTCCAGTGGGTAGGTAGTCAATATATTGACCAGAGCTTCTAGGCCAGTGGGTTTTGTGGCTATTAAGACTTCATAAGTAGTGTACCATTTTTTTCCCAACAGACACATGCATAGTTAGCACCTTATGGTATGTGAACTATCTGTATACACTGTGCTTGCCCCCCAGTTTGTATTCTCCCTTAAAAGCCATGTAATGAGCTTCTGTATAGTCCTATGTCTCTTGCTTTATCTTTGATTTGCAGCATAGCCTTAGGTGGGAAGGGCCAGGTATGGGATGGAAGCCCTCTAGTAGCCAAGTAGCCCTATAGATTTCTGTATTTGCTTAACCACATAGAGGAGGAGGAAAGCCTGTGCCTTGTCTGTTACATCTGTGGCAATACTTTCATTTTATGGGAACAGACAACACTCAAGTATTTCATAAACAATCCAGGTCCTTGGACCTTGTTTGGATTAATGTCTCTTCAGTGTAATGCAATATTTGAACAGTTGCTGGTTTGGTTCATTCTGCTAGATCAGATATTGCTATCCCACGGCATACTGTGAAGCTATGTAAATAACCATGGAGAAACATGGTGAAAGTCCACAGATGGCTTTCCCAGATGAAGGCAAAATATTCCTGCCTTTCAACTACTATATCAGAACTAAAGAAATCATTGGACAAATGCAGTACATAGACCGCAAAGGTGCTGACCCAGTTGTATTTTCAAGACTTAAACAGTATAGCAGTGTTAAGTATGGCCAAATAAACCTTATTTAATATTCCCAGTAACCAGCTGTCTTGAGTTATGTCCCATCAGGCTTTTGGAAAGGGCATGACAGTGAATTAAATGGTTATATACAAGCATAGTGATGTTTACCATTCCCAATTCATGGATTGTTCTGTGTTCTCTTGGTGCTACCCCACCTTTAGAAAGTACTGGTATATGGCCTTGGATTCAGTGGTGTCACTGGCTTTATGGCCAAGACATATTTGTTTGCCATGCTCTTTTCCCATGGTTGTTTGCAGTGATATGTTTATTTTCATGATACATTCAGGGATGATGGTATAGACCTTTGGAGCTATTTGTCCACTGGGTCTCTCAGTTTCTGTTGCATGGTTCTTAAACTTTATCTGGGTTTCTAGATATGTGTGCTTTTGGTTCCAGTAGCTGCATAGTGACTCCTTCTGTGTTATAGGGAACCAATAACTAGCCAACTCCATATGAGGAGTCTGTTTCAGGGATGTCGAACCTTGACAAGTCTCTATTCATTGTTTTCTCCAGACCTAGAGTCTCACTATACTACTGGCTCAGGGAAAGCCTCATTTCTCATGGCATTTTTAACTAGAAAATGGTCCCAGGTTTTCCCTTTTATTCCCCCACATACACGAGTGCCTGTTCTGCAGTCTTAAAGGTACACTGTCTTTTCAGGAACAGAAGTTGGAATCTTTTCTTATATTTCTGGTTGTGAGCCTAGCCTTTAACGGCTGAGCCATCTCTCCAACCCTGGAATCTTTTCTTAAGGGAGTGATTTCCAAAGTTTTATTACCCAAATTTGGCTGCTTGTCTGTTTTTTTTTTTTTTTTTTTTTTTGTATTTACGAGACAAATTGTAATTGTATTGTTTTGGAGGCTGTCAGTCCAGCCTGGCCTCGAACTTACAAAGATCCGCCTGCCTCTGCCTCCCGAGTGCTGGGATTAAAGGCATGTGCCACCACTGCCCGGCTTGTCTGTTTTTTTTTTTTTTTTAATGTATTATTGCCTGATGATTTCACGAATGTCCATAATACATTTTGGTCACTTTCATACCCCCCCCATTACTTCTTCTTACTCATCTCTCTCCCACCAAATTCTGTCTTTCCAACATGCTTCCTTCATATTCCTATGTTGTATCGGGGGACACTCAATGAGTTTAATTAGGGCTGCTTGCATTTGGGAGACTCCTGGGCTGCCCTATTTTACTGAGTGGCATTTTACTCTTTGACCACTTTTACGTTTACTTATTCTGAGCACAGCCTACCCATGTATTTTATCTTTGTCTCCACTGAATCTGTAACCATTTGAGCTCCTTTTGGTATTGTTGGCATAGCATAGCAACCTTAAGGATATCAAGATATCATACCTGACTGGAGGTACCTAGTGCAAGATGACATCTCTCATCTCTACTGTCCAAGTCTTGTAAGCACCAGAAAAAGTCAGAATACACTTGCATCTTTCATAAGCTCCTTCAAATATGACTGCATTTCCTCCATAGGTGTCTCTATGTCCCTTGGCCCGGGGACGTCTTTAGAGTTGGACCAAGTATGTCTAATGACAGTAGTTATCCATGCTGCCAGTAGCTCCACAGTTACATCTCAGTGACTGGCTGTTGCTGCTGCTGAAGTGCTGAGGAAAAATGTCACCAGCCTTGAGGTCCCGCCGTCTCAGTAGGAGGCACACACTCTGTTTTAACTTGGCTCTCAGTTGCACTAACTCTAGAGTGGAGGAGTGCTGGAGGGGGGTGCAGGCAGCCTGGGGCAGGCAGATCGTGTGAGTCCTTATCTAACCCTGCTTCAGATGGTCTTCTCTCCCTCCTCGATGGCTCGTGTATCTTCCTCAGCCTTTAAGTCCTGCCTCTCAGTTTTGATTCACCTTTTGCTTTTCTGATCACACACCACCACTCTCATTTTGTCCATTCACCTGCACCCGCCTTTTAGAGCTTAATACAGATGCCTGTTTAGGTTATGACCGATCAAATACTTCTTACCTCACTGGCTCCCACCAAAACCACCGGCCCTGAAGTTCTCACTTTCCTCTGCGTTATTCTGGGTTGACTCATCCCTTGGGTCTGCCCACCATTTCAGCTGAGCTGTTTCACTTCATAGCTGTTTTGTTAGAATGAGATAATTTCAGTATACACCAAGACTCGGGGGGCATGAAGGATTTAATCACAGTTTGAAACACTGAAATACAGTCTCCATTGCTCAGCTTAGAAGCTGTAAAGGCTAAGTGTTCTAACATCTCCAGGTACCACTTAGTGGGCACGCAGACGCTGCAATGCATTGATGGGGAGTGGAGCAGTTCCTATCCTGCCTGTAAGCCCATTCAGGAAATCCCCAGCCTGGCTGAACAGACTGCACTTGGGAAAGCAATTGTAAGTAGGGGCTGTTATCCATTTTGTTCTTAGCTGTAGTCTCAGGCCTGCCATTACTCTTGGCATATACGTAGTGGATACTTGTTCAATTCTGGGTAATGTGCTTGAATGGGTTAACTTTGGCCCATTGCAGAAGGGGCCTCATAAAATGCCAATTCACGTTTCTAGATAACATTCCTATTCATCACCATCATCACAAATACCTCACAAAACCTTCTTATGGGATTTATTGCCTCATTCAGCATATAAAAGTAGGTATTAATTATACTCAGTGCCTGAGATCTGTAAGCCCTGGCTGCTGTGAGAAGCTGCTCCAAGTCGAGATTCCACTACATTCTGAACACATTTATTTTTCTTCAGATTAACTTTGGCCTGTATTTATTCTTGAAGAAATAGTAATGATTCTAGTTAAACCAGAAAATGTAAATGACTGATCATGTTGCAGACTCAGATCCTCATGGAAATTCCCCGGGTTTGCAGCCCATTGGTTTCACAGTAGAGAGCTGAATCTCATCTCCCTAGTTGTAACTTTAAAAGCTTTTCTTTTCTCAGCTTGCCTTTCAGGAGAGTAAGGAGCTTTGCAGTGCCACAGAGAACTTTGTGAGAAGCCTAAAGGAAAGTGGACTAACAATGGAAGAACTAAAATATTCCCTGGAGATGAAGAAAACTAAGTTGAAGGAAGATATTTTACTGAAATATAGCTAGGCAAGATGGTAACAGAAATGCCCCTGTGAATAAACCACTTCTGAGGGTGCTTGCGGGGTTGTTCCTTACTGAGCTGAAATGCAAGGTCATGTGACTGTACAACGGGCGTACTGTGTGTACTTTGGGCATGTGTGGGAGTTTTACTTAGACTGGAGAAGGGCCAGCTATGGTGGTTCTCTGCTTCAGACCAGAGTTGGCAACATGCTAATGGAGAATGCAGAGATCAATTCTTTGGCTGGATGGCGAATAAGAAATCAGACATCTGATCTAAGTCTATGTCACATAAAATATGAATTATGAATCAAAATTTCTGAGACAAGAACTAACCTTTCACTCTGGAAAAATATACTTACAACAATTACACCTTTAAAATTACCTATTTAGTGCCACACCCTCCCAAGCACTAAAGATTATTACCAATGCTATTGGTTATTCTGACTTGATAGTAAGTCCCTACTGCTGAAGATACCACATACTTATGACATGCCACATGGAGAAATCTCTGTGGTATTCAATAGAAAGTTTCATCCCTTTTGGATAATATTTATAGTTCCACAAGGTGCTACACATGCTATCAGAGGAGAAAAGTAATCATTAATCTCCATCAGCTGGAATATGCAAGCTGTAATAATGATCTTCATACAAGACATACCCATTGATGCAATAGTAGCACAAATGATAAGGGAATAACCAACCACATTTTGGTTGGCTTCAAGTCCTGATTCTTGAGATGGAAACTATCCTTGACATTGTGTAAGTGACCAAGACCTAGAGACTAGACAGGTGATAGGTCATAGGGGAAAATGTGCTACTGTTATTCTGCAAAAGGAACATAGGAATAAAATGACTCCTAATGTCATACTGCTATACCCACAGAACAATGTGTCACTCGTCCTCATCAGAGAACCTTCTTCTTGCAGTAGGTGATAATTTAAACAGAGACAAATAGACACTATGCAGAGTAGAGGCTTTGGAATTGCTCAGCTCTTAATGGTATATATTTATCATATCACTATCCTTAAAACTCAGGGAGTTAGCAGAAGAGCTTTAAGAGCCAGAGTTGGTAGATGACTTTCAGGATATAGCCTTTCCAGACACAACAGGAACGATACACACCCACACAGACTATGGAAGAATGCCAAGACCCGCTCAAACTCAAACAAGACAAAATTCAAGCATGAAAGAAAGGAAGCAGGTACAAATCCCACCCCTAGCCAATGAGCTGTTCTCAATTAATAGCTGCTGGGAGAGGGAAAATCACGTCTCTTCAATGGAGAAACATTGGTGTAGCAGCCACACTCCAGGGCAAGCACCATGTTCAGGAATAGTTTGTTAACACAAATCAGATTCCATGGTTTTAGGAATTTTGTTTTTCTTTTTGGTTTTAGAGACAGGGTTTCTCTGGTGTAGCCCTGGCTGTCCTGGAACTCTCCCTCTCTGTAGACAAGTCTAGTCTTGAATTCACAGAGATCTGCCTGGTTCTGCTTTGTGAGTGCTGAGGTTAAAGATGTGTGCCACCATCACCTGGCACTGTTTCCATCTTTTTCTTTTCTTCTTCTTCTTCTTCTTCTTCTTCTTCTTCTTCTTCTTCTTCTTCTTCTTCTTCTTCTTCTTCCTCTTCCTCTTCCTCTTCCTCTTCCTCCTCTTCCTCTTCCTCTTCCTCCTCCTCCTCCTCCTCCTCCTCCTCCTCTTCTTCTTCTTCTTCTTCTTCTTCTTCTTCTTCTTCTTCTTCTTCTTCTTCCTCTTCCTCTTCCTCTTCCTCCTTCCTCCTCCTCCTCCTCCTCCTCCTCCTCCTCCTCCTCCTCCTCCTCTTCCTCTTCCTCTTCCTCTTCCTCTTCCTCTTCCTCTTCCTCTTCCTCTTCCTCTTCCTCTTCCTCTTCCTCTTCCTCTTCTTCTTCTTCTTCTTCTTCTTCTTCTTCTTCTTCTTCTTCTTCTTCTTCTTCTTCTTCTTTTTTAAGAGACAAGGTTTCTCTGTATTGTTTTGGAGGCTGTCCCGGAACTCGCTCTGTAGACCAAGCTGACCTAGAATTCAGAGATCCGCCTGCCTCTGCCTCCCAAGTGCTGGGATTAAAGGCATGCGCCACCAACGCCCAGCTGTGGCACTCTGTTTTTAAGAGAAAGAAAGAGCATGAAGTCTTGTGGGTGGGCGGAGTCAGGAGGACTTGTAGGATGGAAAATATTATAAAGATATATGGTGTGAAGTTCTCAAAGAATAATTAAAAACATTGAAATGTTTCCAACAAAATAAAATAAATAAAATGACCCATTGAGACAGAAGTAGAATTAGGCCCCAAACTCTTGGCTACACCTAGTTTTGTGAAGCCAGGTTTCTAAACCTTATGTGGTAATACTGTTACTGCATTTGGGCAAGCTCCCAGCCCCACATCACATGGGTCTGAGATGATGCAGTACTCTAAAAGAGTAGGAGATACAGGAACCCTAAGACTTTCTTCCTTAAGGTGATTTGATGTTTTGAAGTGGATTTTTGATTTACTTTTTTCAGAAAGAGTTGCTGAGATGCAAGAAAGATGGAACATGTTTAGGCAATAGCATGTAACCTGGGTTGGCTTGAATGAAACATGAACAATGGTGAAGGATAGGAAGGTTGGTTAAATCCAGCTAACAGTGTTTTAAAACATGTATCAGAGAATTTGCACTTCTTCTGTTAGGTAGAATACACATAGCCTTTAAGCAGTAAGATGGGAGTAGCACAGAGAGCGCTTTCTCACAGTGGTGAGGAAGACCGTATGCAGCATGGGTTGAGGAGGTGGAGAAACCAATAAAGGGTTACTGCAGTGGTTCAAGTATGTTCCCCAAATTTGTGTGGAGACTACTCCAGTGGGGCTTCTATTGCTGTGATGAAACACCACGACCAAAAGCAAATTGGGAAGAAAAGGGTTTATTTGGCTTATATTTCCACTTTGTAGTTTTATCCCTGAAGGAAGTCAGGACAGGAACTTAAGCAGGGAAGGAACCTGGAGGCAGGAACTGATGCAGAGGCCACGGAGGGGTGCTGTTTACTGGCTTGCTGCTCTTGGCTTGCACAGTCTGTTTTCTCAGGGTTAGCACTCCCCACAATGGTCTGGAACCTCCCGTATTGGTCATTAATTAAGAAATGCCCTACAAGCTCATCTACAGCCCCATCATAAGGAAGCATTTCTTAAGTGAGGTTCCCTCCTTTCAGATGATTTTAGCTCAACAGTTCCTGTGAGTCACAACTCCTTTAGGGAGGTCCAACAACCCTTTCATAGGGGTTGCATTTCAGATATCCTGCATATCAAATATTTACATTATGATTGATTCCAGCAGCAAAATTCAAGTTATGAAGTAGCAATGAAAATAATTTTATGGTTGGGGTCACACAACATGAGGATTGTATTAAAGGGTGGCAGCATTAGGAAGGTTGAGAATCGCTGCTTTAGCTTGTGTCAAGTTGACATGAAACTATCCAGCATAGGAAGTGATTAGGTTTTATGGATTAATGTCCTCAGAATGGATCGGTACCAAGTTAGTTATCATAGGAGACCTGACAAGAGAATGGAGTTTAGTTCCATTTCTTCTTTGCCTCATTCCTGTCCTCTTGTCCTTCACCTTCTACTGTGGGACAGTGCAGCAGCAAAGCCCTTGTCAGAAGCAGGCCCTTCAGTTTTAGACTTAACAAGTCTCCAGAGATGTAAGTAAATCTCTGTTCTTTATAAGATACCCAGCCTTGGGCATTCTGGGATAGAAACAGAAAACAGTCTGAGACATTCACAAAAAAGATACTGATGGTGCTGCACTATTTTCATGGAAGCAGAAATTAAAATGGAGCAGAAGGAATGAGAGGTGTTGTGATACTTACATCTTGATTAAGGAAGAAGTATTCAAAAACAGTTCTGAAATTCCTAAAGAGTTCTCTTTAGATGTACTGTTTGTGTGAAATGCTATGGAGTGGTCCTCCTACTGGTGATATTTAAAGGATGGGAATAAATAAGTTCATTAAAGTGAAGATGATTTCTTTGTTTGCTTGCTTTGTTTCTTTAATAAGGAAAAGAGCCAGGCATGGCAGAAGCCAGCCTGGTCTGTGTAGTGAGTTCCAGGCCAGCTAGGGCTACATAAACTCTGAACAATAAAATAATAAAAAAAGAAGGGAATTAAATATGTTTATGGATGAGAGGAAGGAAAAAAGAGTTATAAAAATTTGAGAGAAATTAAAGAATCAGGGAAGTTTGGGGTTAGTTGTGGGATCTGTTTTAGTTTCTTCTGTTGCAGTGATAAAATACCCTTACAAAAGCAAAGTTCTGTTTTGTCTTTTTAGCTTACAGTTGCAGTACATCATGACAAGAAATTAAAGACACCATGAGCTTGAGGTAGCTGGTCATATTATGTTCTTAGTCAGAAGAGGACAATGAATGCATGTGTGTGTGCTATCATTGTCTGCTCACTGTCTTATACCACCCAGGACCCCCTGCCTAGGGAATGGTGCCACCTGTGGTGCCCCAGTCTTTCACCTTAATTAGCATAATTAAGATAACCTTCACCAGACACACTCAGAGGCCCATCTCCTAGATGATCCTAAATTTTGCCAAGGTCACAGCACTAACACAGGAGTCAAAGGGGGGCAACTGGTTTAGAATGGAAATATTTGGCAATGTTAATGTCTTATGTCCTTGGAAGAGAATCCTTTTGGTTGGAGTGGGTCTGAACTCCTCAGGGTTTCTATGCTGTTTGGATTTTGTGTTGCTTATGATTATGAAAAGGAAAGAAAAATTCTGTCATCAAATTCCAATCACCCTTCTAACTTAGGGGAAATGGTTGGCAGATAAGAAAATAAATAATTGCAACACATGATCAAGAATGAGTGTTGGTGAGGAAGGCGATTAGGTAAACACCACTGCCCCAGTTCGTTAATCATTCACTGGGACAGAGGAGAGTTTCTCCTTGTCTATCTTTATTTACCTGCCTCTGGCCAGCCACCTGTGTGGGTGGAATCCAAGGACCACCTGTGTGGGGAGAATCCAGGAACTTTTTGGTGGAGCGATTACTGGCCACCTTTAGGATATTAAGATCAACTGTCATCTTGGGAGAAACTAGTACAGTAAAGATCAAGGCACCATCACCGAGTCATTTCCTCTGCTACTGCAGGTCAGTGAGCTACTGATCACTTGGGTGGGGGAAGGGGGTGTTATGACCATCAAGCCCTTTAGGATATGTACCTCTGTGTTCTATTTTTTTGAGATTGTAATTTACTTACATTTTCCCCTTTCCCTTTCTTCCCCTCAAGTTCTCCCATACACCCATTCTTGCTCTCTTTTAAATTATGACTTTTTTTCCATTAATAGTGGTTACATGAATGTATTCCTAAATATAACCTGTTCAGCCCATATAATGTTACTTGGATGTATGTTTTCAGGGCTGTACATTTGGCACTGGACAACCAATTGTGGTTTTTCCCTGGAGACTACCATCTCTCTCACTCCCAGTCTTCCTAAGTTGCCTGTAGTTCTTTGTGCAGAATTAAGGCCTCATGGGCTTTCCCCATTTAGTTTTGTATATGCATTGATGTTCTTGTTTAGCTCATGTTTGGGAGGTCATGTTGGTGAGATTTTACTGGTATAGCTTCTGATGTTACTAGTTACAATCTCACAGTAAACGCCTTGATCCCTTGGCTCTTATAATTTTTCTGTCCCCTCTTCTGTAATGTTCTTCTTAGGTACAGAAGTGTTTTGTAGATGTATCCATTGGCACTGGGCTACATAACTCTACATTTTGATTTGTTATGGTTTTCTGTGGTAGTCTCCATCTGTGCAAAGAGAAGTTTCCTTTATGAGTGGTGAAGACTATACTTATCTGTGGATATAAGGGCAAATGTTTATAGATTATTATCACAGATTATGCTGATGTAGTAAATTAGTGGTTATAGATTCTCTGTTAATAACTGTGACTTCACTAAATTGAGTAAATAGTTAGCTAGGTTTACAGTACCAGACATGGTTTCCTGTCTTGTTGAATGGGTCCTGAGTCCAATTAGAGGTATGTGTGCCACTACTTCATGCTTAGGATTAGCGTACTATGTTGGTTGTTGATGTGGTTCATAGACCTCATAGCTAGGTAGGGCTGTTGGTTGCCGCCTTCTTTTGCAAGTTTTCATGGTGCCTTCTAGTACCACAAAAACTACTCCTCAGGAAGGAGGTATTCAAATCAGCTCTAGCTCAGGAATCTCTGGTCCCTATTTCTAAAATTCATGGTGTCTTCAGCAATAGGGACTTACCTTCCTCTTCTAGGGGTTAACCAAGGGCAAAGCCATAGGCTTTATTGTAAAGAGAAGCCTTTTCCTTGAGAGAAGCCTTCCCTCCAGCCTGATTCCAGAGCCACATCAGTCCCAAATAACACACAAGAGGCTACATTAATTATGAAGCTGTTGGCCTTGCTTGTTTCTTACTGGCTAGCTCTGACTTAAGTATTTATCCCATAATTGTTAATCTAAGTATTTCTCTTACCAGAGAACTTTCTGGGCTTCTTATCCCTATGGCAGTTACATCTTGACTCTCTGTGTTTCTCCTTCCCAGCATCCTCCTGGACTCCTAGTCCCACCTATCTTAGTTCCCTATTGGCCAACAGTGCTTTATTGACATATACACAAGACTTCCCCAACACTTTATGGTTTGGAAGTCTCTTTGACAGCCCTGGCCAAAAACTCAAAAAAGGTCTTCTTGTGTCTGTTGTTTTTTTGTTGGTGGTCTTTGGGTCTTGGAGGAAGCACAGTCATCCCAATGAGTAAAGTTCATTAAAACCATATTTGTATAAGTTAAGTTCTAGTACAGTGCTTGTCTAGCATGCAGAAGGTCTTGGATTCAATCCTCAATACCACAAGAAAGAAACTAAGCAAATATAAAAGCAAACTAGCAAACCAAAACAAAAAACACCAAAATCTTAACACTTTGCTAGGTGGTAGTGGTTGTGCATGCCTTTAATCCCAGCATTCAGAAGGCAGAGGCAGGTGGATCTCTGAGTCTGAGATCAGCCTGGTTTACAGAATGAGTTCCAGGACAGCCAGAGCTACACAGAGAAACCCTGTTTCAAAAAAATAAACCAAACCAAAATAAGAAACAAACTGTAATTGTATATTTATACATGGAATTATGTGTATTGTGTGTTTTTTAAAAGGTAAAAAGAGTTGTGTATGGAAGACACATTTCCTTAGAGTCATCTACCACCTCTGGCTCCTACAATCTTTCCACCCTTCTTCCTCATAGATCCGAGGCCTTGAGGGGAGGGGTTTGATGGAGACATCCCATTTAGGACTGAGTGCTCCACAGTCTCTCACTTTCTACACATTGTCCAGTTTTGGGTATCTGTGTTAATTCCAATCTACTGCATGAAGGCACTTTTCCGATGAGGACTGAGTGAGGCACTAATCTATGGGTATATTTAATACCACTAAGAGTTATTTTATTGTTATGTTCACTTAGCAGAATAATAATAATAGGTTTTCTTTTAGGTTCATGATCTATCTAATCCCAGGTTCTGGCCAGTTTTAGCAGCATCATGCTTGGGTTCCATCTCATGGAGTGAGCCCTAAGTCCAGCTTTAAAGAGTGGTTTTTACTCCCGTAACATTTGTGTCACCATTGCATCAGTATATTCTGCAGATTTCTCTTGTAGGGTTCAGAGTTTGCATCTGGGTGATACTGATGATCATTTTTTTCTCCTCCAGTCATGTGCAGAGTACCTTATAGTGCCATGAATGCTAGTCAGTAAGAGTGAAGCTCTTGATAGGCATTAGCTCAGTTTTTCTGTATGATGACCTAAGTATTGCTGTTATCAGAAATGGGACCTTACCATCAGGTCTTAGAAATAGCCTGTGATATTTGGTGGCAAAAGATTTCTTGTTGGGGCATTGTCTCACCCATTATATAGTGACTCTATTTAAATTCCTTTCTTAAATGTATATATTTTAGGAAGCTTCTACAGTAACATGTTTCCATATGATTTTTCAAATGGCCTTTAATATTAGTTGTCACTCCCCATATTCCCTCCTTTACATGTAAGTAACGTTCTTAATTGGTCTAAGTAATAAAAACCTGGAGTTAAATATAGAGGAAAATGCTGAAAGATCAGAGAGAGGAAGGAGCAAGCCACAGCCACACCTTACCTCCTTAGTGTCTCAGCAGACAAGAGAGCGAGCTCCTGTTTCTCACTGCTTATATCCTGTTTACACCCAACTACTTCACTTCCTGGCTGTCTGTATAGCCCTCCAGACGTCTGTGGTTAGCTAGTGGCAAGCTCCATTCTCTGACCTTCAGACAAGCAAAATATCGCCATATTTACCCTGCTCTCCCATTCCCCTTCTCATTTAGTCCTCCTATTCCAGTTTTCCCTTTGTCTGTCCATAATACTATGTTGCATAGGTTTGAACAGGGTGTTGATAGCACAGGCACTAAGACCAACAGTTAGTAAATGGGACCTCATGAGACTAGAAGCTTCTACATAGCAAAGGACACCATCATCTGGGCAAAGCAGCAGCTACAGAATGAAGACGAAAACATTCTCTTTCAGGGATTTTTGCTAGTTACACATCTGGTGGAAAGCTAGTATATAGACTGTATAAAGACTTAAAAAAAAGTCCTGAATGTCAAAAGATCAAACACAAATAGTTGAGAAATACTTAAAGAAATGTTCACCATCTTTAACCATTAATAAATGGAAATGAAAACAACTTTGAGGTTTCATCCAGTCAGGATGACCAAGATCAATAAACAAATGGCAACACATACTAGGGAAGATGATGGGAACAGGAAACATTTATTCATTGCTGGTGGGAGTACAAACTGATATAGTTGTTATGGAAATCAAGAGCCTTCATCCAGTAGCTGTTGGAAGCAGAAGCAGACACCCACAGCTAAACACTGAGCTGAACTCCTGGAATCCAGTTGCTTTAAGACAGGTAGATTAAACATTGCTTATTAAATTCAGGTTTCTGGCAGAACAAGCGTGGGTAAAGCTGCAGCAAGGCTATGTGCCCCACAAAAGTTCCACATGGGAGAGATGCTGTGGCCTGGCCCTTCTCTAGGCTCTGGAGAGTCTCTGACACAACTTTGTTCCAAATGACCGTCATTGCTGCTCTCTGGGTTGCTGTGTTTGGTGAGTAGGAGACAAAAAAATCCAGATGGACAACAAAGAGTTACTTACAATACTTTAAAAATGAGATAGTTTAGCTAGTGGAAGTGTAGTTTAAGCAGCAAAGGATTTTTTTGGCCAGTTGGAGTTGGAGCAGTTTCCTAGGTGGTTCACCTAGAATTTCTTACCTAAGTTTCCAAAGCAACCTGCTTCCCAGCTGGGGTTTGAAATAAACTTATATTGTCTTATAGCAACTAAACATATTTCATGGCCTGGGGGTTGGTCTGGGATGGAGAAGTGAAGAGCATCCTTCTGCTGGGGCTCATAAGGGGCAGCTTAGTTTTGTCTATTCATCTGTAATACGAACAGTAGGTTTAAGATTTCTATATCTCAAGAATTCTATGCTTTCTCTTCCATATAGCCCAGGCTGGACTGAATGCATAATCTTTCTTACAGATCACCATGTCTGGCTTATGTCAATTCAAATGAAGCAACATGTTTCTGTTAAGGCAAATTATAGGAATTTTTGGCTTTACATAGATGCTCTCTGAGCAGAGATGGATAATAGAGGCCGATGAAATTCATGACTGACTTCCTTTTTAGAAAAAATATTTTATATAGTACAGAAGAGATTAAAATGTATGCCTTTTGTCATGATTGTCATTATGCACTTCTCTCAGGAACTTATAGCACAGGAGAATAGTACATTAATGATTTTTCTTGATTAGAGGAGAAAAGAACTGTTCTCCCTCTACAATTATAGATGCTGTCTTAGGGTGTAACATTTGGTGTTGCTGTCCTCTCTGTGTCTAGGTAAATGTGGTCCACCACCTGATTTACCTGGTGCCTTGCTAGTAAGTGAGACAAACCAGACAGACTTCGAAAGCAAAACTGTCTTGAAATACAGTTGCCGCCCTGGCTACAGTAGGGCATCTTCAAGCCAGACTGTTTATTGTACATCTTGGGGGAATTGGCACATTACTATCTCCTGTGTTAGTAAGTACCGACATTTCTTTTTCTCACCTGTGCACTTATGAGTTTCAGAACGTTGTCTTAGGTTATACTGAATTCATCAACTAGCAATCTGAATGTATACATGTATGAATCTTCTAAAAAGCAGAATAAAACAGAGCAGAAAATTGCAATGCAGAAACATAGCTAATTGCAATGAAGAAAGCTATACTGTGCTGGCTACTTTTATGTTGACACAAGCTAGAGTCATCAGAGAGGAGGGAACCTCTGTTGAGAAAATGTTTCCATAAGATCAGGCTGTATGCAAGTCTGTAGGGTATCTTATTAATTAGTGATTGATGGGGGGAGGGCCCAGTTCATTGTGGGTGGTTCCATTCCTGGGCAGGTGGTCCTGAGTTCTAAAAGAAAGCAGACTGACCAACCCAGGAGAAGCAAGACAGTAACCAGCATCCTCCATGGCCACTGCATCAGCTCCTGCCTCCAGGTTCCTGCCCTGTTTGAGTTCTTGTCCTGACTTTTTTTGATGATGAACTGTGATGTGTATAAACTAAATAATCCCTTCCCTCCGCAAGTTGCTTTGGTCATGGTGTTTCATCACAGCAATAGTAGCCCTAACTAAGTTATCAATAATTCACCAGGTACTTCTTGTTTTTTGGGGGGGGGGTTTATGAAACAGGGTTTCTCTGTATTGTTTTGGAGGCTGTCGGACCAGCCCGGCCTCGAATTCACAGAGATCCGCCTGCCTCTGCCTCCCGAGTGCTGGGATTAAAGGCGTGCACCACCACTGCCCGGCCACCTGGTACTTCTTTAAATAAATATTGGGATTAAGACCTGGTGTGAGATAGTGAATACCTTCATTCCAACACATGGGAAGCAGAGGCAAGCAAGAGCCTCTGTGAGTTAGAGGCTAGCCTGGTCTATATAGCGATTTCCAGGCCTGCCAGGGCTTGTCTCTAAAACAAAACAAAAAAAGAGAAAAGAAAGAAAAATTGGGCCTAGTAGAATGGTTTAGCAGGTGAAGGTGACCTGAGGCCATCCCTGAAACTTGTGTAAAGGTGGAAGGAGAGAACCGACCCTCCAGAGTTGTCTTCTGAGATCCACATGCATGCTGTAGCCACCTCTCAAACAGCAACAACAACAATGAAAATGGTAATGATAATAATAATGATAAAATATCCTGGGGTTAAAAGGCCAGAAAGTAGCAATCTTACCTCAAATACATGGTGAGCATTTATATGTGGAATTTTGAATTTTTTAAAAAAGACATGCATATGCATACATACATATGCATGCATACATACATACATACAAACATGCATACATACATACATACATTGGGGGAAGGAAGGTAACCACAATAGCTAGTGAATATGATTAAAATACACTGTCATACCTATATAAAAGTGTCATAATGAAACCCACTATTTTGTATACTAATTTAAAAATTAAATAGAATCATGCAGAAACCAAAATGTCTTGCGGATTTGGAAGAGCATCTAATTCACTGTGAGCAGGGAATATATTCTGTACTGTCCCCCAACAGTAATGACACAGGGTCTTTCTCTTTTTTGTTTCTTTTTATAATCAAGAAAAGGATTCTTGCTAAAATACAGCAGGATAATAAAAAAGAGATCAAGATTTGTGTGAGTTTTCCCTCCAGAACAGAAATTCAGTGAGTCAGATTCAGAGATAAACGTGACTCTTAAGCATGTAGGTCTTTCTGAATGTGGAGAAAGATCTTACAGATCTGTAAGTTTCTAATGGCAGTAACCGTGAATGGTGGGATCACTTACCATCATCTAATTTTTTTTCTAGAAAAATCATGCAGGAATCCAGGAGACTTACAAAATGGACAGGTGGAAGTCAAGACAGATTTCTCTTTGGGATCACAGATAGAATTCAGCTGCTCAGAAGGGTGAGTGTGAGGTAATTTAGAATTCCCCGTTAACTTTAAAAAAACAACTACTTTCAAACTTTAAGGTGATATAAAGAGTATCTATTAAAAAGGATCGCTTCACCCTGTCTCCATGTACCCTACTCCTTCCTGTGCTAAGGAATTTACTTTTATCAGTTTCTTTCGTGTCTTTGTAGTGTTCCCTCATTCAAATACAAGTCAAGAAATTAGCACGTTTTCCTATTTCCCCTTTCTGATAACAAATTTAGTTCCTGTTTAGGCCTTTTATGTAGGGAGGTTGGAAGGGGAAATAGCAATGCATATGATCATATTTCATTGTATGCAATACATGTATGAAATTCTCAAGAATAGTTAATGTAAAAAAAATAACCCTGAGTCCTGATGGGTTTAATGATGCAAACTTTTAGTCTTAGAAGGCAGAGACAGGCAGATTTCTGTGAACTTAGGTGGGTGTCAGGAAGCATACTCCAGTCCTATGAAAGGGGCCTTAATCGCTGGGCCATGGCTTCAGCCCTCTTACTTGTTCTAATGGGAGCAGTCAGTCTAATTTTTCACTGCCAATGAACAAATTTGATAGGTACATTAATTTAAATATGTAGATCACTTGTAACATCCACTTGAAATGCATTTTGAAATAGTCTTCTACTGCAATGTATGAAGACTTTTTAAAAATTGAATTAATTTTTAAAGTTAGCATACCTCCGGAGTAATGGATTCCATCTTGACATTTTTGTACATTTGTATCACTGTACTTTTTGATTTTTAATGTTTAATGTACAAAGAAATGGATTCATTATGGCATCTTTAAACGTGTGTCATTATACTTTGTCCCTGTCTCCCCTAAACCTTCCACTACAACTCTTTAGCTGAGAAAACGTCATTTCTTCATTTTTATATCTGTTTGTCACCTTTATACAATTTTATTTAAAGAGGGAATTCATTAAAATTTTTGACCTTCTATTATCTAGATATGTCTTAATCGGCTCATCCACTAGTTATTGTGAGATCCAAAGTAAAGGAGTTGCCTGGAGTGATCCTCTCCCAGAATGTGAAAGTAAGTAAAGAATCTTTTTGACGTGGCTATAAATATAACTGTCTTAGGGAATGAGTTTGTGTGTTCTTCCTGACACTTATGCCCTCCACATGTATTTGCAAAAATTTTATCGTTGTTATGATGCCCATCCCTGAACGTTTCTTTCTCTTTCACGAATTTCTCAGTTGTCAAGTGTGCGTCCCCTCCAGACATCAGCAATGGGAAGCACATTGGTGGAGATGAAGACATCTACACATATGGCTCCTCCGTCACCTATAGGTGTGATCCCAACTTCTCACTCCTTGGCAGTCCCTCCATTACCTGCACTGTAGTGAACAAAACAGTAGGTGTTTGGAGCCCCAGCCCTCCTACCTGTGAAAGTAAGTCCCAGTGATATTTTCTATTGTTCACTCAACATTTTGCTTAAAAGAAAAAAAAAGAAGATGAATTCATTGTGGGAAGAACAATTTAAAGATAAGCGAGTGTGTATGTGCATCTATTATTTGGCTAAGAGATACTCAATTCATTAGAGTGGCAAACAACACCATAGTTCATCTATAATCTGTTCTAAGATGTTGACCACACTAATGCCCATAGGGTAACTCAGCTGTAGAAATAGATATTCTTTCAAGATTGTACCTACTCTGCTGCTGCCTCCAAGGTCATATAGTCCTGTGACAAAAGGGACTTTACTTCCTAGCTGGCCCCATCTGCCTGTCTCATCAAAATCCACAACTGGACCTGAGGTTTATGAGGGTTTTTGGCTTGTCTTGAGAGTCAGACTTCCTGACTTTATGTCTGCCTTACCTTTTGGGTGCCTTCTGCTCCCCAACTCCACAGGGAACTGAGGAGCTGAGGCTGTGTTAGGGTTACTTCTCTGTGTCAAGGGTCTTCTCTGCAACTCCCTACCCCCGATATTTTCAGGCACCCTTTTCAATTACCTTGTGGATTTCTAAAGCCCTTTTTCTATTTCTAAATAAAGTCTTATTCTTCACTGGCTTTTTCAGAGGTATCCCCTAGTCTTCTTCAGTAAAATTCCTATTACTACTTATGTCAGTGCTTCAAGATATATTTTTTATTGTGATGCCATTCTTATGGGTCTTATGCACATTCAGCTGGAACCCTTCTACTAAACTTTATCCCCAGATCTCAAAATCTCAAATCATATGTCTCTCTCTCTCTCTCTCTCTCTCTCTCTCTCTCTCTCTCTCTCTCTCTCTCTGTGTGTGTGTGTATTCATGTCCACATACGTACATGCACAGGTGCATGAATGCCATGACATGTATGTAGAGGTCAGAGGACAACCTTGGAGGTTAGTACTGACCTTTGACCTTGAGGCAGGCCTCCTTCTACCCTGAGGCAGGGTGCCACTGTGAGTACCACCCAAGGCCTGGGATTAAAGGTGCACACTACCATGTCTGGCTTTGCTTCTATGCTGCATGCACAAAGGTAACTGTCCTTCCAGCATTAGGGGAGTCTCCTGTATTCTCATAGGATCACTGAAATCACAGGTGTATGCTACCATGCTGGATTTTTATGTGGGTTCTGGGGATTCGAACTTAGGTCCTTGTGTGTACTTTATCCACTGAGCCATCACCACAGTACCCTTTAACTTTTAAAATCTACTTGTCTTTTCTCATACTTATTTAGAAATCAGCTGTCCTCAGCCAAGTGTTTCACATGGAATAATTACTTCTGGATTTAGAACTATCTATAAATACAAAGACTCTGTTATATTTGCCTGCCAGAAAGGGTCCATCCTCAGAGGCGAAAATATAATCTATTGTGGAGCTGATGGCAACTGGAATCCTTCTCTTCCCATTTGTGAGCTCAGTAAGTATGGACCATGAAGGAGTTTCATTGTTTGGCAGCTAAAGATACCCAGGTATATTTTGTGGACATACTTTCACATCTAGATTCTGAATCACAAAAATTTAAATTTGGATTTTAATTTTTATCTTTCTTTCCTTACCTCCCTTCTTCCCTCCCTCCCTCCCTCCCTCCCTCCCTCCCTCCCTCCCTCCCTCCCTCCCTCCCTCCCTCTCTCTCTCTCTCTCTCTCTCTCTCTCTCTCTCTCTCTCTCTCTCTTTCTTTCTTTTTGGTTTTTTGAAACAGGGTTTCTCTGTACAACTGTCCTGGAATTCGCTCTGTAGACCAGGTGGGCCTCAAACTCACAGAGACCCACTTGCTTCTGTCTCCCAAGTGCTGGGATTAAAGGCATGTGCCACACCACCAGCTACCTTGTTTTCTTGTTGGAATGAAGGATGACTTTAGTACTCCTTGCAAAGTCGTCCATCATACACAATTATTCACTCCAGTCCTAAGGAGAAGCATTGATGTTGTAGACATAGAAGATCAGTATACTTACGTCATTAATTTTGGGCAGTTAATAGATAATTGTCTAACAAAATAATTTTTGGAAGTCAGGTAATAAAATGTCCTTTTATAATTTGTACAAAAGTATTATATGGACTAGACACTCTAAAACAAGTAACTTGTTGATCTTTTTAAAGTTGTACTGTTAAGTTGGAACTAGTCTTGGTTCATAAAAAGAGTTAAAGCAATCAATGAATTGTGGGCAGTATAATTACCCTAATTTGGCAGATGAGGAAACGTTTTCAGAAGGTAAGTGACTTCTCATGGTCACATGGCTGCTATGGGGAGGAGGCCTCTGGTGCCTTATATTTTTAGTTTTACACTCATGAAGTATCATGTGTCTTTATCTTGGGGACTTCTGTAACAGTAGTACTAGTGGTGGAGCAGATTCTGTGAAACTGACCAGAACAAGAAACTATTCAGTGTGTCTTGGAGAGTCCTTAAAGGAGTTACAACAATTTAGAAGCATGCATTTGTTCGGTAAATCCATGGATACTTGATAGAAATGGTGAGAGGCCACTGTATTACGCTAGCATCAACACTAACTCATTGGGACCTGTTTCTGTGAATTCATAAATGGCAGCTCCCATCTGCTGTTGGGTGACAGATATGCTTGGGATAGGCTGTTATTGAACAGGGTGACTTTTCTAATGCGCCATGTTATGAAAAGGTTATATTAGGCAGATGTCAGCAGCCAGACATCAGGTCTGCTCCTCCATCCACCTTCCATTGCATAAGATGGAGAAGCCAGGTGAGACAGCTGCAGCAATTGTGTCCTCCTGCTTCTGAACAGATCTGTCTTAGAAGAGAAATGGTCTAGTGGGTTGCCCAACAAACTGTCACCCCCAGTTTCTCTGTTTTATGGGCTTGAAAATGAGCAAATATTGACAGGTTTCATTCTCTTGACTCTGGGCTGTAGACTATGTGTACTTGGTGGTGGGTACAGCTGGATGCAGGACTCCTTATTGATACACCCATTCTCCAATTCCACTGCCCCTACACTACAGAAAGGATTCTGATGAAGGAATTGACTTATTCTCTACAGTTCCCGTCAATAGCACAAGACAACCACATTATAGTAATTAAGCCGGTCTCAGAAAGACAAACATCATATCTTTTCCTCTCATTTCTGGTTTCTAGGTCATGTATCATTACATAAAACCTTGTATGAGCATATGCTGTAAAGGTAGAAATAGGGGACAAAGCAGACTAACAGGAGAGGTAGGGATGAGAAAAGAGAAAAGGGGTATGAAGGGATCTGCTCACCATATGTACTATACACTTGTATGAACAGTATGGCTAGATAACATACACAACAAAACCAAATAAAAAAGACTATTCTAGAGTAGATTTAGAATAAGCTTCAGAGACTTTGAACATCCTATACCCCTGACTTTAATTGGGCCTGACTATGAAGTAATATATGCCCCCAGAAACAACACTGGAGCAATCAGATAATATCGAAGGCTAGCCATTATACATACTACTACAGAGGTAGATCAACTAAAAGTGCAAGAGGAGAATCAAAGAGAACCCAGGGTTTTATACATGGTAGGCAAGCACTTTTATTGCTGAGTTATACACTCTGTCATAGACTCTTCATTTCTTCCTATAGATCCCAGCTAATATTGTCAAATACATCTTTTTCTATAGCTGTCACACTGAGCACAGTTATTTTTATTTTTATATCATGCTCCTTAAATCAGTTATATAGAAGAAATGGGTTTTATCTGACTCTTTGTATCCAGTTTCCACATCCAGGAATTCAATCAACTGTGGATTTAAAATATTTGAAAAATACATCTGTACTAAACATGTACAGATTCTTTCCCCATTGATAGCTCCTAAACACTCTAGCGAAACAGTTATTTACCAAGATAGATATTATTTAGACATATAAGTAACAAAAGAGATAACTGAAGTACATGGGAAGAGGTATGTAAGTTATGTGAAAACATCGTGGTAGTTTATACTACAGCCTTGAGGATTTATGGACTGGAGATCTTTAGAAGTCATGCAAACCCATCCCTATTGCTAACAAGGGATGGGTGATTGTATCATCCCTTACTTCTTAGTTATCTATACAGTGACCTTTCCTGTGCTCATGTTTCCCTGTATGTTTCCACCAGAATACATTTCTTTCATTTCTTGTAAAGATGGTCTTTAAGCAATAATAAATGATATAAAAATGGTTATAAACAGCCTGACATTTTCCCCAAATTTGTAGAAAAATTAGAGCTCTACATACTATTGGTAGGTATCTAAATTATTACAGACATTATAGAAAATAATTTCAACAGTTTTTCTGAAGTTTGAGCATGTGGTTCCTGATTGATTTACAATCAGTTCCCTGGGTATGTATTAGAGAGAAATAAAAACAGATATCCACACAGAAGATTTTTCATGAAAATTCAAAGCAGCATTGTTCCTAACAGCCAGTAACCCAAATACCCATTAATGGGACAGTATTAATAAATTGGTATAGCTATACACTAGAATATCACACAGAATAAAAATGAAGTACTGATAAATGTTGAGCATGGATTAATTTTAGAGTGTGGTTTCTGGTAAAAGAAGCCAGCTACAAAAAAGGAAAGAAAATGTATTGTGTGATTCCATTTATTTAAAAAACTTTTAAAAAGTTTTATTTAAAAACATGGGGTTTCCCATGTAGGGCCTCACCCTCCCTGGGGAAATGAGGGGATATTGGGGGGTTGGGGGGAGGGTACAGGAGGAGGGGAGGGGAACGGAGAGGGACCTGGAACTGACTTGTGAAGCAACCTTGTTTCTAATTTAAATTTAAATTTAAAAATAAATAATAATAAAAACAAAAAACATGTGGCTTCTTCATGAGCTGATAAAGATAGCTGCACAACTCTATGAATATTGGATGAATGCCATTCTGTGCTTCCTGAAGGGTTTTACTCTATGTCTCATGGGGAATGTTTGGAAATACAATGTAGTGGACACTCCACAGATGTGTGTATCACATATGAACTAACAGTACCAGACAAGGGAAGAGGAAAAGTCTCAAAGCCTAGGCTCAAAAATGTTAGTGCTTTGTTTGCTCTTGTTTCCTGGATGAGGGAAATGACTCTTGTTGAATTTCTCTAGTTAGGAAAATACACACCGTTTTTTGTTGTCTATGAAAGTTTTCCCACCATTTTCGTTTACCAAGCCTCATGCTCCAATTTAGAAACAAAACTCTGAGAAGTACAATGGAGAGAAGAATTACTGTTGAGTGCAGTTGGCATAGCACACAGGCAGCATTTGGTAGTGTCTTTGGTGAGAACTGTCAAGTGCTGGACCACGATGGGTAAATGTCTACATTTTCTGGTGTGGTCAATGTGAGCTATGGAAGAGTAGCTCTTGCTGGTGCCTTTTGATGAGACATGCTCTCTGAGTGCTATGGCAGCCCTATTAACAATGCCCTTTTCTTTTGCTTGTTTTATGGGCAGCTAGTTGCATTGGTAGACCAGATATTTCACATGCTTCCTGGCAACGATATGTCAAAGCAGAAGACCTGTATCCAGTTGGGACTGTGTTACGCTACAGATGTCATCCTGGCTATGAGGCTGCTACAAAAGAGCCAATGAGTGTGGTTTGTCAGAAAGATTTCACCTGGAGCCCATTTAAAGGATGCAAGGGTGAGTTCTGGTTTTTATCCAAATGTATGTGTGTGTGTGTGTTAAATGTCTAAGTAACTGGGCCTCATACCTTATGTGAGTGCAGTTTCATCACTTAGAATCAAACTTGAATACACCACTTTAACCAAAGTAGAAGCTATTTATTATCATACGTGATCATAAAATTTCAGGAGCTAAGACTGTAAAACCTTCTGTAGGCCACTTTAGAAATGAACAAAAGAAATAGATATAGAAGTCAGACAGCATGAAGGTTTACATTTCAGCATCACTGCTGGTGGATCTGGGGTGGAGTACCCAGCTCAACACTGGTCAGAGTGAGACTCTACAGGTCCTCCTTCACCAAGTGAAGTCTGGGGGCTGTGGCAGAAGTAAAAGTCCATGAGAATATTATGAATTCAACAAGCTACAAATTGGCATGTGTCTTATAGTTCTTGAGCAACGGGTTTGTCAGTCTAACAGATTACTTGCTTCTAGAAGACAGGTACTGACTCCTGACCCAGAATTTTTACCTCAGCCGTATAGAAAGGAGATTGCTCATTTCCCTCTTTGTCTATTTGTGGGACAAAAGAGGGGCTCAGATGGGTAATTACTATTTTACAGACCTCAGTGAAATTTATAGGAGAGAGAAATTGCCTCATTTTTTTCTAAGTAGCAGAAACTTGTCATTTTAGCAGTAAAAACACAGACTCAGACTACAGGGCGTTTTTATGCTATGGACCAGATTTGAAAAAAAAATCTATTAATGGATACAACCAACAAAATGAAGTGGCTTTGATTGGCCTGTCAGTGGGGTGTCCCATTTCAGGGCTTGAAGACAAGGTAGAGGAATTGAATCATTTAGTTAAAGAAGATGTAAAATTAAAAAGAAAACTGAATGACCAATGAATGGAACATGCAGAAACTCTGGAATTACAATAAAAAGACAAAACATATAAAAGTCTATAAGAAGAAAAGAAATACAGATCAAAGGGACAGAAAATAGTTTCAACAAAATTATAGAAAAAATTTCCCCAAATCTAAGCAGAGCCTATCAAGGTGGAAGAGGCATATTGAACACCAAATAGATGGGACCAGAAAATAGAATACCAAATAGATGGGACCAGAAAATAAACTTCCTTAACATTTTATAGTTTAAAAAACTAAGTTTATGAAACAAAGAAAGGGTATTGTAAGTAAGAAAGAAAGGTTAAGTCACTTAATAAAGGCAAACCCATCAGAGTAACAGCTGAGTTTCCAATATAAAAGGGATTGAACCGATGTTTTACAAGTTCAGAAATACCACATGTGCTAACAGAGACTACTATATCTAGCAAAAGTATCAGTCATAATCAAAGAAGAAACAAAAATGTCCTATGGTAAAAACATTTTTCAATGATTTATGGCTACTGTGCTGTCTCTACAGTCCATATTGAAAGGAATACTTTAGTCTCAAGTGAAGGATAAAAACAAGAGGTCACAAGGAGTAAATAAATAATTCCAGAATGATTAATCTAAATATGTCTAAGAAAAAAACACCATCACAATAAAATGACAAGAATTAGAACACTGTTTAATAATAACTCTTAATATCAGTAATCTGAATTCTCCAATAAAGAGGCAGACTAACAGATTGGGTTAGAAAACAAGATCATGTAGTAGGAAGTTTCTATCCTGCCAAGCCCCACTGCCGTTTAGTTTTAACTAAACATACAGAAGCTTATATTAATTATAAACTGTTTAGCCAACGGCTCAGGCTTCTTATTGGCTAATTCTCTCTTAAGTATTAGCCCACTTCTATTAGTCTGTGTATCTCCTTGTGGTCTTGGCTTACCAGTGATACCTGGGCCTTTTCTTCCTCAGTAGCTACACGGCAACTCTCTTGTGACTCACTCTCGCATTCCTCTTCCCAGCCTTCTCCTAGTCTAGTACCCCTGCCTATATGTCCTGCCTGGCTACATTCTGTCTGTCCATCAGGTTCACTTGTCGTCAACCAATAAGAGAAACATGTATTCACAACATACAGAAGGACATCTCTCATCAAGATCCATCTTTTTTTCTGCCTCCAAGGAACACACCCCACTTTCAATGATAGATACCGACTTAGGGTAAAAAAATGGGAAAAGGTACTTAAGAAATTGGAACTAGTAAAAAAGCATGTTTAGCTATTTTGTTACCTAACAAAATAAACCTCCAACAAAGACTAGTCAGAAGAAATAGAGTCATTTCATACTCATGAAAGGAAAATCTACTATGGGATTATTAGAAATCTGAGCATACATACACCAAATTTAGATGCATCCAGTTTTGTAAAAGAAATACTATTAGACCTAAAACTACAGATAAAATAAAACAGTGATAGTGGATGACTTTACTGCCTCACTCTCGTCAACAGACAGTAAAGCAGACAAAAATAAGCAGAGAAATATTGGAGATAAATTACATAAATGAAACAGACCTAACATGCATTTATAGAACACACTAAAGAATACCTATTCTTCTCAGCAATTCCTAGAACTTTATTCAATAGTAGGAGACAAAGAATCTCTCATCAAATGTAAGAAAACTGAGATAACATTCTACATTGGAACAATAGAATAAAGATGGATGTCAATGGGAATAAAAACTACAGACACTCACAGAAATTAAACTACACATGAATGACTGATAATTGGGTCAATGAAGAAATCAAGAAGAAACTTGAAAATTCCTAGAAGTGAGTGAAAATGAAAACAAAATATGTCAAACTTATGGAACAAAATGAAAGAAATTTTAAGAGGGTAATTTATAATACATAAGTTTTTTGAGAGCTCTCAAATTAATAACTTAATGATCCATTTAAAAGTCTTGAGAACATGAGAACAAACCACACACAAAATTGTTGAATGTAAAAGATAAAACTAGGGTAAAAATTAATAAAATACAGCAGGCAAACAACAGTACAAAGACTCAATGAACTGAAGAATTGGTTCTTTGAGGAGACTCCAAGTTTGACAAACCCATATCCAAGTCACCAAAAAGAAAGAGAAGACCCAAATTAAGAAAATCATAGATGATAAGGGAAACATAACAGACACTTAGGAAATTCAAATGATTTTAAAAAACATTTTAAAAACCTATATTCCACTCAATAGCAAAGTCTAAAGGAAATGGGTGAATCTCTAGATGCATGTCACCAACCAGAGTTGGATCAAGATGAAGCAAATAATTTTAAAAGACCTATAAAAACCAAGAACATAGCATCAATAGTTAAAAATCTCCCAATTAAAAACTCTCAGGGCCAGATATACTCAGCACAGAATTCTTTATACCAGACCATCAAAGAATAAGTAATAACAATACTCTTCAAGTTATTCTGTAAAATAGAAAACGAAGAAATACTTTCATTTTTTACTAAGCCTGTATTATCCTGATACCAGAACCAGATAAGAACTCAACTAAAAAAAGTAAAATTATAGGTCAATGATGAACATAAATGTAAAACTTCTCAGTAAAATAATTGTAAACTGAATTGAAGATCACATAAAATCAATCATCTACCATGATCAAGTCAGCTCCATTCCAGAGATGCAGGAATGTACAACATATGGAACAATAAATGTAATCCACCAGTAAATAAACTCAAGGACAGAAACATGAGGTTATCTCAGTAGAAAAGGTCTTTGAGGAACTCAATATCTCTTTATGATAAAAGCTCTGGAGAAACTAGAGATTCACAAGTATAGCTCAACATAGTAAAGGCAATATAAAAGAGATTAACAAGTATATCTCAACATAATGAAGGCAATATACAAGATGTATAGTCTTCACCATTCTAAATGGAGAACTCAAAGCTTGTCCAGTAAAATCTGAAAGCAGACCAGACTTCCTACTGTCTCCATGTATATTCCATATAGCAGTTGAACTCTTAGCTAAAACAAGACAAATGAAGGAGATAAGGGGGCTATGGATAGGAAAGGAAGATGTGTCCTTATTTCTAGATGATATGATCACTATACATAAAAGGCTATAAAGAGTCCAGTGAAAGCACTTATTCAGCAAAGTTGTAGGATACAAAATAAACATGTGAAATCAGTAGCCTTATATTCCACTGATAAACACTGAGAAAGAAACCAGGGAAACAATCCCATTCATAATAACCTCAAAAGTTATCTTTGACTAAATCTAAGGAAAGAATTGAAAGACTCATACAATGAAAACTTTTTTTGAATTCTGAGCAGTTTATTCTCAAGTCATTACAGTGTTCAACAATTAGACATACAAAGATAGCAGGTATAACAGTAAACATCAGGAGGCACATTCCTGTTCTGAAAGGAGATACATTATACACACAGAAAAAAATGCAGCAAATATTATGGCATTCAAAGTAACAGTTGACACTTCAGATGCGGCATATTTACAGGAAAGTATGTTTTAAGACAATTAAATAATTTCCATAAACTTACAAAAGAATTGAGATAAATATTAGGAGACTCTGATATGCTTTTGAATAATGCTAATTCTATAACAAGTCCCAAAATAGAGCTAATATTTTGCCACCATGAAATATATCAAATTACCAATACCAAAATACGTTCAAATGAACATGCACTGTGGAGGCTGTACCAAAGAAAACCGTGCCAAGTTCATCAATACTGCCAAGTGTCTGTACACGGGTTCTTAGGCATGTTTATGAAAAAGGAACTTCCAAAAGAGCCTGGATAATGAACATGGCAGCAGAAGGGTAGTAACTGCTTAAAAACCTTGTTGTCCTGTGGTTTTCCATGCAGTTGCAAAAGAGAAAAATTACATAAAACTCTAAAATATTAGCCTATGAATACAAAAGGTGAGTGGTGTGTCCTTGTACTGGGCAACCAAGCAACACATCTTAATCCCTAGACCCCACCACGGTAGCAAATTTCTTATCCTCCAACAAGTAGTCTTAGAACATAAAAAGGCAAAACACTAATACCCATGACTCCAAACCAGAAGTGTGTGGGATTAGAAATACCATAGAGAAGCAGTCTGGGAAAAGCAAACACTTA